TTCAAGTAGCCCCCACAGTCCCCCCTGGAGGCAACCAGAGGGCCTCCTCTGCAACGTGAGACAGAGAGACTGGTTGGCTGCGTAGGGTACGGTCAGGCCCAAATCTCGGGAGACGGGTCTGGCCGCGTCACGGGGTGACTGTCAGGCCCCCGTCTCGGGAGACAGTGCTGGCCGCGTCACGGGGTGACTGTCAGGCCGCCATCTCGGGAGACAGTGCTGGCCGCGTCACGGGGTGACTGTCAGGCCCGAACCTCGGGAGACGGTGCCCGCCGCACCATGGGACTAGGTTCAGCTGGGGGCTTTGAGAACAGATTTCTGTGGCTGACAGGCCACACTTTATTTTTTTTTTTTTTTTTGAGAAGAAAAATAAACCACTTTAATATACACTATTTGTACATTAATTATAAACTGTGGCAGTAAAAGCTTTCCGAACATTGGCAAGAAAAGCTGAAAAATTGTTGGTCTTCCTTACATTCTCTTGAAATTCTAGGCACTCAAGATGAGGGGCACTATCTGACACTTCATAGTCCCTTGCTTCATTTAGATGCAGGGAAAACATAAATGAGCTCTCAGGATTCTTAGGGTCAATATTAGTGAATATAAACTGCAATTTCTCACCATAAATTTTTCGAATTTCTAGTCCAAGTCGATCTTTATACAAGTCTGCAGATTCTGCAGCCTTTTCAACCTCTCTGCATTCGCTTTATTAGCAGTAGAAATAGTTTCCTTCTTCCTAGAGTATTCTTCCTTAAGATCCTGGATATTTGCAGTCAGTACTTCCAATTCTTGCTTTTTGTCTTTTACTTCAGCAATCAATTTAACAAGTTACCCTTTTTTTCTTGAATGAGCTTATTTTGCCTGCTGATCGGATTTTGATATTCCAGAAACATCTCAACCATTCTATCTTCTTCCTTTAATTTCACAGACAGCTTTTCTGCAAATGCTTTGAGGGAGTCCTTGTAGGTATCTCTTAGTTCTGCCATCTGAAAGGAGGTGGGGCGCTCTCCTGCACAGACAGGTCCTGGTTGAGACCAATGGTGTCCCCAGGGGGCCTTCCGCGTTCTCACTTGGGTTTGCTGCCAGTCAGCAGCGAGGGGCCAGTTCACGGGTCCGAAGGGCAGGGGTTGTGCATCAGAGAGGGAGGGGGAGGCGGCGCTGCTGAGCCTCTGGAGATGGGGTCGAAATAGCTCGGGGAAGCTGCTGGCAGCACCCCATCCCCGTCACCCCACCCACACCCCATCCTTCTGAGGCTGGCAGAGTGGCTTCCACAACTGACTCGTCCTCATGCGGCTCCCAGGCTGTTTCATTGAGGACATTCTTCAGAAGTGGAAGGACAACTATGATCTCCTTGAGGACAATCACTCCTACATCCAGTGGTGAGTTGGGGGAGCGGGGGAATCACGGGGGTGAGCAAGGTCGCAGCAGGAGGGGCCCTCCCAGGCAGGAGCCCTCCCCACGCTGCTGCCTGGTGTGGACTGAGCCCCCCCGTCCTTCCTGGAAGTGGTGTCCACATGACACGGGCAGACATCACTGGGCATGCAGGGGCTGCTGACGGAAGGCTCTGGCTTCCCAATCTGTGGGCTCTTGGTGATCACCAGGGAGGCCAGAGGGGCAGCCTTGGAGCCAGGAGGCCTCTGAGGCCTCACGCACCACACGCCGCCTGTCCTGGGCCTTCGCGCGCTCACAAGCGCTCCGCCACCCTCGCTCCTCCGCCCGGCAGGCCGGTCCCTCCTGGAGTTGAGCCTGGGAGCCCAGAGAGGAGGGGAGCCCAGTGAGTGCGTGCCGGAGGGCTGGAAGCGGCTCCCCTGAACCCTCTGCCCGGGCGTCTCTTCTCCACAGGCTGTTTCCCCTGCGAGAACCAGGAGTGAACTGGCATGCCAAGCCCCTGACACTCAGGGAGATCGAGGTGAGCTCAAGGCCTTGGTGTGGCTGGGGAGGGAGATGGGGAGACTGGAACAAGCCACGTATCCGCAGAGACGGGGTCACATTGCCAGCAGGCATTTGGTGTCCCTCAGGGGCCCCTCAGAAGGCAGAAGGAGCCCCCAGTGTGATGACCTTCCCTCTGGAGTGGTCTTAGTCCCGCCAGGCATTAGAGAAACTCAACTTTCTGAGGCCGTTTGTCCCCACGCAGGAGTCTGGGCCTGAGCCCCTGCGAGACCCGAGTGGAGGGACCTGCCTTTCTCACCGCTGGATTGGGCTGGAATGGGGTCACCCAAGTCTGGAAGCTGTCCCTAAGGGGGATGCAGGGGTTTAGAGAGCTGAGGGGCCCCTCCTGGCGCTTTCGCATGGCCGGTGACTTCCTCTGGGGGGAAGGCAGCAGCCCGGGGCCCTGGAGAGAGCTCGGGGCAGCTCAGAGGAGAGATGAAGGCGTGAGTGGGTCTCTTGTCACTGTACCCTAAAAGTCTTGAGTCCAGGCTGGGCGCTGTGGCTCCCGCCTGTAATCCCAGCACTTTGGGAGGCTGAGGTGGACAGATCACCTGAGGCCAGGACTTTGGGACCAGCCTGCCCAACGTGGTGAAACCTCGTCTCTACTAAAAATACAAAAAAATTAGCTCGGTGTGGTGGCATGAGCCTGTAGTCCAAACTACTCAGGAGGCTGAGACACAAGAATCGCTTGAACCCGGGAGGCAGAGGTTGCAGTGAGCTGAGTTCACGCCACTGCAGTCCAGCCTGGGCGGCAGAGTGAGACCCTGTCTCAGAAAATAAATAAAGCGAAATAAAAAAAAAAATAAAAGTCTGAATCCAGGCCTCTGAATGAGTCGGGACCCAAGGCCCGGGGTGCGTGTGGCCCCCCACGCTCCCCGGGAACGGAGGCTTTGGGGATGGTGCCTCAGCTCTCCTGGGGGGCTTTTCCAGGTGTTTAAAAGCTCCAGGGAGATCCAGGAGCGGCTCGTCCGGGCCTACGAGCTCATGCTGGACTTCTATGGGATCCGGCTGGAGGACCGGGGCACGGGCACCGTGGGCCGAGCGCAGAACTACCAGAGGCGCTTCCAGAACCTGAACTGGTGAGGCCTGGCTGCCCCTGCCCGCCCCCACCCCCACAGGACAGGGCCATGCCCTGGCAGGTCACAGAGCCCTCCCTGCTGCCTGGAGGGCTGGGCCGTCCCTCCCCGATAGCGTTGGTGGGAACATAGAGAAGGCGATTCCTGCGCCTGAGAGGTGGCAGCCCACACGGAGAGGCAAGCAGGGCTGATGGAGAGCCTGCAGGCGGTACAGCCGCTCTCATGGGTGATCGAGGCCCCTGTGTCCTGGAGGGGCCCCGGGGCCCTCATCTACCCAGCTCCTCCCCACCAGGGGGCCTCAGGGATAGCCACCCTCCGGGTGATGTGTCAGCATCCCCCCGACCCCCATGTGTCCAGGGCCCACAGGCCATTTTCACGGGGATGGCGTGAGTCCTCTCCTGGGCCCAGGGAGGCAAATGGGGAGAGAGACGGGATGGTGGGCCGGGGTGTGGAGACCCCTGTGCGGCCGGGTGGGGGCCCCGGCCGTTGACCCCCGCCATGCCGCACCCCCCGCAGGCACAACCACAACAACCTGCGCATCACACGCATCCTCAAGTCTCTGGGTGAGCTGGGCCTCGAGCACTACCAGGCGCCGCTGGCACGCTTCTTCCTGGAGGAGACGCTGGTGCGGCGGGAGCTGCCGGGCGTGCGGCAGAGCGCCCTGGACTACTTCATGTTCGCCGTGCGCTGCCGGCACCAGCGCCGGGAGCTGGTGCACTTCGCCTGGGAGCACTTCCGGCCCCGCAGCAAGTTTGTCTGGGGGCCCTGGGACAAGCTGCGGAGGTTCAAGCCCAGCTGCCTGCCCCGGCTGCTCGAGGGCCCCAGCAAGGCGGAGGAAGAAGGAAACCCCAGGGACCCTGCCCACGAGGCCAGCACCCAGGGTCGGACCTGTGGACCAGGGCACAGCAAGGGTGGGGACAGGGTGGACGCGGGGCCCCAGCCACTGAGCATGGAACCCCAGAATGCGGGACCCCTGGAGAGGAGCCAGGGGGATGAGGCAGGGGGCCATGGGGAAGATGGGCCGGAGTCCCCCAGCCCCAAAGAGAGCAAGAAGAGGAAGCTGGAGCAGAGCCGGCGGGAGCAGCCCCCCGCAGAGCCAGGCGCACACACTGTCTCGGAGGTGGAGAAGATCGCTCTGAACTTGGAGGGCTGTGCCCTCAGCCAGGGCAGCCTCAGGACGGGGACCCAGGAAGTGGAGGGTCAGGACCCCGGGGAGGCCACGCAGCCCTGCCCCCAACCCCTGGAAGCCAAGGTGGCTGACAAGGTGAGGAAGCGGAGGAAGGTAGATGGGGGAGCTGGGGACAGTGGTGGCGCCCAGACCTTGGCCCCTGCCGGGTCCCCTACCCCATCGGGGTGCCCCGAGGCTGGACACACTGAGAACCAGGTTGAGGAGGACACAGAAGGCACAATGGGGCCCAAAGAAGGTGCCCCCGGGAACCCATCAGAGGGCCCAGGCCCCAACTCTGCAGGCCCTGCAGGGGACGAGCCAGCCGAGGCAGGGGAGGCAGCAGAGGTGCAGGACACAGAGGTGGGGCCTTCCCCTCAGTCCGGGAAGCCTTAAGGAAAGGAATGTCCATCCTGGCGGCGGGGCAGCCTTGGGAGCAATCCGCAGTGCCCGCTGCAGCAGCCCCCAGCAGGTGCGAGGCCCCACCCTCGGGGAAGGCCACGGCCTGCAGAAGCCGCCTGGCCCGGCTGTGTCTTTCCCGCCCAGCTCTCCCCTGCACCCCTGTCTTTGTAAATTGTCCCTTTTGGGGTGGGGTGGGGCAGGGCTGCTTTTCTTAGTCTGGTGCCAAGCAAGACCTTTTCTGAATAAACCCGTTTGACTTTGAGTCTTTGGTATGGACCGGGGTCCCAGTGGGTGGCCGGGCCGGCAGGGCTGGTGTCACAGCCGATGTCTGTCCAGGCTTCAGTGGCGTGGCCTGGCTGCCGCCTCGCATGGCTCCAGCAGTGCTCGTGGGGGCACAGCGGCGGCACAGCCTCCCGACACGGTGCCCGGGCATGCAGAGGCGCGCAGCCTCAGAGCTGCTCGAGGTGGGACCGCAGTCCCTCAGTGGGCCTCTGCCACCTGTTCAAGCTGGGGGACTCCCCTGAGGTGAGCTGGGGGCAGTGGCTGGGCACAGCGGGGTCTAGACCAGGCCTTTCTGCCTGCTGTGGTCTGGGTTCGGTGCTGTGCCTCGGGCAGGCCTGGCAGCACCCTCAGTTGGGCTCCCTGGCTCCCTCAGGTCTGGCGAGGTGCGCCCCAGGGCAGCTCCTCCCTGCAGTCTGGCCTTGTCAACCTGGGCCAGGACCCCCGCCCTTCCCGATTCACCTACATTTCTACATCAGTGCGGTAAGGGGCTTTTGTGGGGCCTCAGAGGAGGGCTCAGGGCTCCCCCAAGAGCTGGACACTTGCCTGTGCTCAGTGGAGGACACCCCTGGGTGGGAGGATTAAAGCTGTGGACCCGGGCACCACTTCAGGGAAAGTGCCCAGCTCCCATCTGGTGGCAGCAAATACCCAAGTCAGAAGTCACTGGGCGGGAGACATCCCAGGTTCAGTAATCCCCTGTCGCTGGGTGGGAAAGCTGTGCGACCCCTGCTGCCTCAACTCCAGTGTGGCTCAGTGAGGGGATTTCTGCCACGGAGGGAAACTGAGGCAGTGAGCTGGACTTGCAGGGCTAGAAATGCAGTCACTGGGGCAGTGCCCGGCTGATCCAGCATCCCCAGTCCGGGCTGCTGTGGGGCTGGGGTGGGTGGAGAAGGGTGTCTCCAGCGAGGAGCCGGTTGGAGCAGCCCTGGGGGGCGGGTGCCTGAGGACAGCAGGCAGTGCTGGCTATCCAACCCGGGCTTCAGGGAGAGTGATGGCCCCCAACAGGCAGGCAGCTGGTGGCTCTGCCCCACTCAGAAGTGAACCCAGGGAGGCTCAGCTCTCACAGCCCCCACCTTTGCCTGGATCTGCCTGGAGCTGGGGGTGGTGCAGGGGGACACCAAGCAGGCGTCCCAGGCTCGAGGTGGCTCTCCTGGCCTGAGGTAAAGGCCAGCTGTGTGTTGTCTGATTTGGCTCATAGCAGTCCTTGCTGCCCACGTGCTGGGCATCGGGATGGGCAGAGGAGAGGCACTGAGGAGGGGCTGGCCCCAGGGTCATCTTGCCAGATGGAACTGCTAGGGAGGCTCGTCCTGTCCCCTAGACCCTGGGCTTGGGTGGGGCTGCTGTGAGGAGCCCCTAAGCCCCACTGCTATCTGGGCCAACCTGCTCCACCCACCCCTGCCCCTTGTCAAAAGTCCTCTGTTGGGAAGACCTGTCCTAGGGTGACTTGGTCTCCTCAGGAGGCTGGGCCTTTTCAGCTCCTCCCACCTCACCTGACGGAATTCACACGCCCCTCCCAGCCACCATGTCACCCAGCAGGGAAGGAAGAATCTCCCTCTACGAACTTAACATCGGGAGAGTTTAGAGCAACACTTTATTATTATTATTACTAATTTTTTGAGACGGAGTCTCGCTCTGTCACCCACGCTGGAGTGCAGGTGGCACCATCTCAGCTCACTGCAACCTCAGCCTCCCGGGTTCAAACGGTTCCCCTGCCTCAGCCTCCGCAGTAGCTGGGACCGCGGGCGCGTGCCATCACACCTGGCTAATTTTGTTGTGTTTTAGTAGAGACGGGGTTTCAGCATGTTGGCCAGGATAGTCTCCATCTGCTGAACTCGTGATCCGCCCGCCTCGGCCTCCCAAAGTGCTGGATGACAGGCATGAGCCACCGTGCCCAGCTGACACTTTATTATTTTGAGACAGGGTCTCTCTTGCCCAGGCAGGAGTGCAGGCGCCATCTCGGCTCACAGCAGCCTCAACCCTAGGGCTCAAGCGATCCTCTTGCCTCAGCCTCTGGAGTAGCTGGGACTGCCGGTGAGCACCACTGTGCCCGGCCGAGGTTTTGATTTTTGGAGGAGAGGAGGCCTCCCTCTGCCCAGGCTGACTGCACCCGGTTTTGCCCCGCGCCCCTCTCGCCCCCTCCGGCCCTGGCTAACTCAGCATCAAAACGGTCCTGCGTTCCCACCTGCAAAAGGAAGCCTTTCTAGGGAATTGTGAAGACTCCTGGGGCAGGGGCTGCCATGCCGTGCCTTCCCGGAGCTTGGGGCAACTTGGACACTTGAGTCCCCTGTAGGGCGGCCTGAGGCAGAGCCGGCCTGGCCTGGCGACCCCTGAGCTCGTCGGAAATGGAAACGGAGGCTCGCCCTCTGCCTCCTTCCCCAGGGTCTGACCTTTCCTGTAGGCCCCGGATCCCGGGGAGGAGGTGCCCTTCCCCTCTGCCAGGGTGGCCGCTCTGCTCTCTCCAGGGACTGAGTCTGGGGCGAGAGTCTGGCCTTAGCCAGTGGCAGCTGACGTGGACTGAGCACCCGGCCGTCCAGGTCCACGGAGGGGCCGCCCCCAGCCCCGCGGGCAGCTCCAGACCCGCGGCCGGAGCAGGAACGGGGGCGGCGCCGGGACCAGCACTCGCCCTCCCCGGGTCCTCCTGGGCGTGGGGCCGCCGGCGCCGGGGAGGGTCTGCGGCTTCGGAAACTCGCCGCCTCCCTCCTTCCTGAAGGGAGCCCTTCAGCGCGGCCCGCACCCCCGCGCGCACACTCGGGTCGGGTCGGCGCGGGCGGAGAAGAGAGCGTCTTTCTCTCCAGCTCAAAGCGGCGAGTGTGCGGGCGCCAGGCCCGGGATAATTTTAACCCGCGGCTGGAGGGACGCGCCGCCCGGCGCGAGGCAGGGCAGGGGGAGCCCCCGCCGCCCAGGTGGGCCCGGCTGAATGGGGGGCTTGTGCGGGCGGGGGCGGGGAAGGGGAAGGGGCCGCCCACCTCCCGCCCACTCGCCTCCCGCCCTCCGCACTCTGCCAGCCCCGACGCCCGCGCGGCTCAGACGTCGCGCAGCCATGGCCCGGGCACCCGCGCTCGCCCCGCTCCTGCCCCGGCTCCTGCCCCCGCTCCTGCTCCTGCTCGCGCAGCTCCTGGTGGCCGCCGGGGCACAGGTGAGCGGGGGGGGCTCTCGGGACTCTGAGACGGGACGTCGAGCCGCGCAGTCCCGGGACGGCCCCAGCCTCGAACCCGCCACCCCGGGATACCTCCACTCCCCAGCCCGTGTCACCGTCGGGGCGCGGAGTCCCCAGCGTCGGGTTGAGCCCCGGGTCGCCTCGGGAGAGCACCGTCCGTCCGTCCGTCCGTGTCCTCGCTGGGTCCGCGCTGGCCCGGGTCCGCCGGCGCCAGCGGCGCCGCCGCCGCCTCTGCTCAGAGACAAGGAGCCCTTTGTTCCTGCGGCCCAAGGGAGGCGGGGGCGCATTGCGCGGGGCACCTGGCTCCGCCCGAGGCTTTGGGGCTCACCGAGGAAACGGGGCTCATCGCGGGCCCGGGAGCCGCTGGGTCCGAAGGAAGCGCGCTCCCTGATGACTTTTCTCCGTTTCAGAAAGTGGGACTCCCAGGCCCCCCCGGCCCCCAAGGGCCACCCGGAAAGCCCGGCCAGGATGGCATCGATGTGAGTTTGGGGGTGCTGAGGGCCCCCAGCGCTCTGGGGTTCTGGCTCTGGCCCTCACCTCCCTGGGCTCCCGGGCCTGATGGAGAGAAAGCCAAGCCCGGCCTCCCAGAGCCAGGGTGACATCAGGAGGCAGCCAGTACCTTCATGGGATGGGGGCAGCCCTGCAGGGATTACCTGGGGGTGGAGGGTGTCACGTGGTGGTCCTCGACCCAGAATGCCGGCACTGAGGTGTGTGTCTCTGGGTCCCTGAGGGGGCTGTGCCCCTGGGTTCTGGGTTCTGACCCCTGGGCTGAGGTGGGGGGGAGTGGATGGAGGCAGGGGGAGGGGGGCCACATCCTTTGGGTGGATACGGGCCCGGGGTCTTGTTAGGGCTGCTGGGTGCTGGAGCCAGCCATGGAGGGGCTCAGGAGCTGACTCCGTCCCAGAGATGATGTCCCCCACGGGTGTCTCAGGCCTGGTGTGGCCCAAGCGTCAGGAGGCAGCAGCTGCAGCCTGACAGCTGTGCCTCCCTCTGAGGGACTATCTGGGGTGAACCTCCCCATGTGGCACCGCCCCCAGGGCAGGGGTTCCCCCAGGGCCTGTCCTTGCCTGTGTGGTTCCTGTGGAGGGCTGCACTGAGAGTCCCCCGTGACCCACGCTCAGCCTCTCTGCCCAGCTCGGCCTCGATGGCCACGACCTCCCTCCCTGGCCACAGGGCTGTGCTCAGAGCAGCTACGTGGACCCGAACCCCCACGGCCCAGGGCCCTGGCCTCCCTAGGCTCCTCCTGGGCCAGGTACTCGGACCACAGAGCTCCCACTTGAAAGCTGGTCTTAAAGTCTCAGTTAAAGGCCTGGTGGTCATCAACAGGGTGGGGGCTGGGGGACCTTCAGGAGACTGAAGAGGCTGCAGATGGAACCGCGAGGCACCCAGGCCATCTTCCTAAAGGCCCAGGCCACTGAGGGAGGGGATTCGCCATGTATTCCCATCACCCCTGGGGGCCATGTCCCCACATCTGCAAAGTGATTCCCACACCCCCTGTGGCTGTGAGGGCTGAGCCTGTCTGCCCAGGTCACCTCTTTACCTGGTGCCGCCCCGTACATGGGTGGGTGCCCCCTAGGTATGGATTGGGAGCTCAGGGTCCCCTTTTGTCTTCTTGGGCTGGGCCTCTGGGGCTGGTTTGGGGGCCAGCGCTGCTCTTTTCCCTGGGGCGGGGTTCTTTTCAGGGTCACATGTGGGCATCTTTACTCACAGGGAGAAGCCGGTCCTCCAGGTCTGCCTGGGCCTCCGGTAAGTGTCCCTGGCCAGGGGATCAGCCTTTTTGCAGTCTGGAGAGAAGAGGGGACATGGAACAGAGGGGTCATTGATGTCCTGTCTCATCCTGTTGGAGCCTGGGTTGCCTGAGGGGAGGCCTCAGAGGGCCCGGAGCAGGCCCGGAGCCAGGGGGCAGGAGGGGAGCGTGTGGGCTCAGCCGCAGCATGTTCTGGGCAGGGCCTGGCTTTGAAGCTTTCTTTGGGCCGGCGCCAGGCAGGCCGGAGCTAGAGCTGGTACCATCCTGCAGGTCCCCTGGGCCTGAGGCTGCACGGAGCCCCCCCCCACCTTCTTCAGCTCCAGGGATTGAGGGTTCTGGGGTTCAGAGCCCTGTCTGGGCCCCCGCGGGTCCCACAGAGATGCCTGCTGGCCCTTAGCCAGGGAGGCTGAGGTGACCAGAAGGTCTTACAGATGCCACCGAGGGATGGGGCGGGCAGCCTTCCTGGGCGAGCAAGGTGTGGGCGAGCAGGACACATGTGACCCCGCTGGGCGGGGTCTGCCGGGCAGCAGGAGGAGAGGGGGCCATCTCGTGTGGCCGGGCACGGGGAGGTGGAAAGCATTTTGCTTTCTTGCTGAAGGCCCGGGCTCCAGGCCAGACCTAGCCCTCACGTCTCTGCCCTTTCCTTCTGCACAGGGACCAAAGGGGGCCCCAGGAAAGCCGGGGAAACCAGGAGAGGCCGGGCTGCCGGGACTGCCGGGTGTGGACGTGAGTGTGCCCGCCCCTCCCCTCGCCCCACTTCCCCCACCGAGGACCTGGAGGAGTCGGCCTTAATTGCTGTTGTCCAAGCTGGGCCTGCTCAGGCGGGAAGCCCAGTCCTGATAGAAGTCTCCAGAAGTCCCCAACGGGGGTCCTTTGGCCCTCATCCCAGACATCACCAGCATCTGGCAGAGGACAGAGCCAGCCCACAGTAGAGCTGGGAGTCCTGCCAGCCCTCCCTGTCCAGGAGCCAGTGCCCATTGTCAGGCCCCTCTGCCCACTGCTGGCCTGGCCCCTGTGAGCCCCAGGCTGGCCTTGCTCAGCCGTCATGGCCCCCTGAGCCTGTTCCCAGGAACACTGCAGCTTTGTTCCGCCAAAGCCAGGCCTGGGATATCCTGCTGAATTGGTCCCCAGGGCCTGACTCCAGCAGGTGTCTCTGCTGCTGGCTTCCCGCCAGCTGCCCCCCCACCCTCCCAGGCCCTCTAGGGACACCCGGCAGACAGTGGTTGGGGCCAACAGAGGAAGATGCCAGGCCAGAGTTTTCTGTGCCTCTCCGAACTCACCAAGGGAAGGGTTCATGGTTCCATTTTTGCCTGGGGGTGGCAGGTACTTCCCATGTGGCCCCTCAAGCTCGCCCTCTGCCTCTTTCCCCAGGGTCTGACCGGGAGAGATGGACCCCCTGGACCCAAGGGTGCCCCTGGGGAACGAGTAAGTGTCTGCGCCAATCCTAGTGGCTTTAGTTCAGAAGTGAAGTCCCCCAGCCACCCCTGGCCATTCTGTGTTCACAAGGCCAAAGAGCTAGTGGCTCTGAGGACAGCTGCCGCGTCTGGGACTGGCCGGGCCCCGCCCATGCAGTGGGGTGGAGGGGTGGAAGGCAGGGTGTCAAGTGGCCAGCCCCCAGTGCCTGCCTTCTGCCCACCCCCACATACGATCAGGGTTATCCTGGCATCCAGACTATGGCAGGGAGGACCATAGGGGATGGTCTGGGGGACCCACCCCAGGTGCCCCCTCCTCCTGAGTGTCCCTGCAGCCCCCAGGGCCCCGGGGCGAACCACCACCAGGGACCCCCGGGGAACACAGCCTGCAGAGTCCCCTGTGCCTGCCCGTTGGACCCAGGTTTTTCACCCTGACTGAGCAGCACCCCCTCCCAAGGATGCCCTTCTCCCCACATGGCTTCTGAGTACAAAACCGAAACCTGCATTCTCTCTTTTGCCCTCATAAGAAGTGGCCATCAGCCAACAGATGCCACTGGCCCCAGGCACAGAGCATCACAGAGGGCAGGAAGGCTGGGCTGGGGGACGGGAGGGCACAGCCCTGCCCTTGGGAGGTGCATTCTGAGCAGAAAACAGGAGGGAGACAGTAGCTGCTGGCAGCCAAGTTCCCGGTGCCCGGGGTACAGGAGTGGGCTCATCCCCAGGCTTTCAGGAGGGGCCTCCGGCCTCATCACAGGGCCCGGCTGTGATTCCGAATCCAGGGAACAGGGATTCCAGGCAGCCGGGCCCAGCCAGGGCCCAGAGGGCGTAGAGGGCAGATGGGGCCTGGCTGCCCAAGGCTCTAGGGCTTGCTAATGTGGGCGGGGCTGAGGACCCAGCAGGCTGCGTGGGTGGGTTATTGGGAGGGCTTCCTGGTGGAGATGGGCACCTGGGGTCACTTCTGTGTATCTCAGACCTGCCCCAGGTTGCACGTTCTCGCGGTGGGCGCGGGGACTCTAGCGCCATTTGTCTCCAGCAGCATCCCAGGACAGCAATAGACCCTCGATGTTGAGAGGTTTCAGAGGCCCTGCCCCTCTGTGAAGTGGGACTTGGACCCTGCTGGCCTGGGAGTTGGCGTTGTGGGGTCACACTTCAGAGGGAGGGGAACGGGTCTGCAAATAGAGGCCGAGCCTGCTTTCCTCCCACAGGGAAGTCTGGGACCCCCGGGGCCACCTGGGCTGGGGGTGAGTATGGTCCTTTCTTTTCCGTGGGAGTTTGAGGAGCTAGAATCTGGCCTAAATGGGGAGCCTCCAGGAATCCCAGAGGCCACCACCGGCCGTCTTCTCTGCAGCCTCTCCGGGGGCTGGTGCCTGCAGTGGTCCTAGAGCCGTCTCTGGGCTGGGAACAGACACCCATCCCTGGAATCCTCCTATCCCCGGGACGTGCCTGAATCGTCTTAGGGAGGGAGGCGCAGCCTGGCTTGTGCCCGGCGGGCTCTGACCCCGTGCTTGGTTTTGCAGGGCAAAGGCCTCCCTGGACCCCCCGTGAGTAGACATCCCCTGGGGCCTGAGCGAGCATGCATGTTCCCAGAGCCTGCCAGGCTGGGATGTCCCAAACTGTGCCTGGGGGCAGGGCTTCTCAGGGGCAGCATCTGACCACCCCACGCCTGGAGCCCCTCCCTAGGGAGGCTGCACACGGACTCTGGGTGGGGACCCTCGGGGCTCCTGGTACAGACCCCCCCACCTCTCTTTACCTTCCTCCAGGGAGAGGCAGGAGTCAGTGGCCCCCCAGGTGGGATCGGCCTCCGAGGCCCCCCGGTGAGTGGCTGTTCCAGACCCCCTCAAAGTGGGCTCACCTGTGGCCTCCATATACCCCAGACTCAACAGCAGGGCCCCCCTCCCCTCTCCCCTTCCCCTTTCTCCCCACCTCCCACCTTGGGGGGTGTTGTTACAAACCCTGGCCAGTGATCCAGACCCAACCTCAGGATGCAGACACGACAGAGGCCGTGGGAGTGGGAGTGGCTGTGGGAGTGGGAGTGGCTGTGGGAGTGGCCGTGGGAGTGGGAGTGGCTGTGGGAGTGGCCGTGGGAGTGGGAGTGGCTGTGGGAGTGGGAGTGGCTGTGGGAGTGGCCGTGGGAGTAGGAGTGGCTGTGGGAGTGGGAGTGGCTGTGGGAGTGGCCGTGGGAGTGGGAGTGGGAGCTGGCGGGAGCTGGGTGTGTCCTCCTCCCTGGGAGAAACTGGGCACCTCACTCAGGTGGGGGCTGGTCCTGCTCTAAGTCATACCCTCTCCACAGGGACCTTCTGGGCTCCCCGGCCTCCCTGGCCCCCCAGGACCTCCCGGACCCCCTGTAAGTACCAGGCAGAGGTGCTAAAAAGTGCGAGGCAGGGACTAGGGCACCAGGTTGGACCCCCGTTTCCCCTCCCGGGCTCCGTGCCCCCCCCCCGCCAGGCTCCTTGCCCCTCGAAGAGCTCCTAACCCTAACTTGGCCACCCCAGGAACAGTCAGGGGTCGGGGAGTGGCTGAGGCTAGGCCAGCCAACTTGGGGATGGTCAGGGCTCAGGTCCCCACGGCCATCCTGCCCCAAGGACAGGTGGATTCTGTCACTGTCACATGCCCTGTAGGTGGGCCAACGGCGCCCAGCACTGGCCACTTGGGGGATGGGGTGAAGGGTCTCCAAGTCCCCTCACGGGTAGGGAAGGTGGCAATCAGTCAGAGAGTGGGTGGGTGGGTTGGGTGGGTGCACGTGGCCAGGGCAAGTGGGAGAATGTCAGCTGTCTCTGTGTTTTAGGGACACCCAGGAGTCCTCCCTGAAGGTGCTGCTGACCTCCAGGTGGGCACTTGCAGCAATTTGTGAAGGGGGCTGGGAGGTGCCTACCTTGGGGGGCAGGGGTCTGGCCTGGAGAGGGGGTTGGCTATACTGGCAAGAAGGCAGGGCCTGGGCACTCCCGGGGTCGGGAGCTCAGTGCAGACAGTTCAGGCACAACCTGGCAGAGAGCGCAGCTGGGACATCCCCCTCCCCCTCCCACCCTCCTCACCACCGTGTAGACGTGCACTGTCCCTCACAGAGAGCCACGAGGCACACGGAGCTTTGCCAATGTAATCAATCAGTCATGCCACGGAGCCACCCAGTGCCTTCGCTGAAGCATCCCTGCAGAGGGTGCCCTTGTCCACAGAGGGTGACAGCAGAGTCCTGGGCACAGTGAGGGACCGGAGTCTGGGACCAGCCTTACCTTGATCTTTGAGCCCTGTCATTTGAGTAAAAAGAAAACAGGCTGCGGGCAGGCGCAGTGGCTCACGCCTGTAATTATAGCACTTTGGGAGGCCACGTCAGGAGGATCACTTAAGCTCAGGAGTCTGAGAGCAGCCTGGGCAACATAGTGAGATCCTTGGCTCTACAAAAAACTTTTTTTTCTTTGAGACGTATCCTCACACTGGCGCCCGAGCTGGAGTGCAGTGGCACAATCTTGGCTCACTGCAACCTCCACCTTCCGGGTTCAAGCAGTTCTCCTGCCTCAGCCTCCCAAGTAGCTGGAATTACAGGCGTGAGCCACCATACCCGGCCTCAAAAAAACTTTTAAAGTAGCCAGACGTGGTGACATGCCTGTTGTCCCAGCTACTTGGGTGGCTGTGGTGGGAGAATCACTTGAGCCCAGGGGGTGGAGACTGCAGTGTGCCGTGATCAAGCCATTGCCCTCCAGTCTGGGCAACCCAGCTAGAACCTGTCTCAAAAAAAAAACAAAGAGGAGGAAAGATGACAGGCTTGGGAGGCCGCGGATCCGCCTCTCCTTTCTGTCTGGACGTCCGTGGGAGCGGTCCACACCATGTGTCCATAGATAGAGAGGTTTGATGGTTTTGAGGGGAAAAGCCCGCCCCACTCTGACCTGACCACCGACGGCTGTCCACCAGCCTCTGTCCTCACCCCACCCCGGGCCCCGGGGCCTAGCCAGCCCGTGTCCCAGAAGGGAGGCTTTAGGGAATCCTTCAGAATGTGGGGAGTGACTGGACCCCTGGCCATGGGCTGAGTCAGCTGGGGCTGCAGACACAGGCCTGCGCCGTGGCCCAGCCTACGCCGTGCAGCTGCGGGGTCATCTAGAACCAGCCCTAGGTCTCCCGAGCAGCAAGCCTGTTGCCTGGGCTCACGGCGGCACCCTCCGACAAGCCCCATGCCCAGCCACTCCTGCACTGAGATGGGCCCTACCTGAGGGGCCGCCAGGCCCCCTGCCGAGCGGGGCAGGGCAATCCGAGCCAGCTGCAGGGGTTGCCACGGTCTGCTCCGTGCGGCCCCTGCCACGCTTGGCCGCTGCTGAAGGAGACCCTGTCTGTGTCCAGTCCTGGTGCTGTCACCAGCGTGGAATGACCTCGCGCGTCCGTGGGCGCTGACCTCTACGTTGGAGGTCCAGCTGCACGTGGCCAGGAGGGGTCTGACTGCTCTGTTTTCCAACAGTGCCCGAGTATCTGCCCGCCAGGCCCCCCAGGGCCCCCAGGAATGCCAGGGTTCAAGGTGAGTCACGGGGGACTAGCACCCAAGCACCCCCTTGCGATGGGTGGGAGGCAGCTGGGCTCCCATGGGCAGGGAAACTGGGGGGGCTGCAGGTCCAGAAAGCTGGGCCCTGCTCCCAGGGTTGCCCCAGAAGGAGCTGGCCAGCCTCCCCATCCCGCCCTCTGTACCCCAGAGACACACGGGTGTGGCCAGGCTGGGAATGGCCATGGGCATCAGAGAGAGGCTGTGGGGGACAGCTGGCCTCAAGCCCCCACCCCGGCCCTGCCCTGCTCTGCTCCTGACTGCTGTCAGGCCCCGGTTTCCCCGGGAGGGCCCAGGCCAGCAGTCTTGTGTGCTGCCGTGTGGCGGGTCCTGGGCTGCCTGGCCCTGCTGGCCTCACTTCAGTGCTGCCAGGGAGGGTGCTGGGGGGTCTGGGTGGGGCAGTGACCCGGAGTTTGCTTTCAGGGACCCACTGGCTACAAAGGCGAGCAGGGGGAAGTAGGCAAGGACGGCGAGAAGGTGACGCTGCGGCAGGCAGCGGGGGGGGGGGGGGGGGAGGGGTGGGGGAGGGGACGGGGATGGGGGAGGGGGGGAGGCGGGGAGGGGCCGGGAGCGGGGTGGGGAGGGCCGGGGCCGGGACCGGGGGCTGGGCAGTGCAGGGGACAGCGAGCTGGTAAAGCTGCAGCAGCCCGGAGGGTCCAGGGAGGGGCTGTTTCATGGGTGCACCTGGGCTGGGCACCTTTGTGCCTGTCTTCCAGACGTCCTGGCTGTTCAGAGCTGGGATTTGGGCAGGGTGCCTGGACAGACCCCTCCTGCCTCGCCCCTCTGTGGAAGCTCCCTGGTTTGTCTGTGGCCATGGTGAGGGGTGTCTGTGAGGATGGCCGGCTTTAGCCTGAAGCCTCCCCTCGCCTTGTAGCCACTGTCCATGGAGGGTGTCCGTCCGTCGTCACCTGCAGGCCAGGGGACCGGGTCTGGGATGCCCTTTGGCATGGCTGGAGTGACCAAAGGAGGGAACCCCATATGCACATCAGAGGGGTCCCATTTGGCCCTGAGGAGGGGCCTGGACAGGGCTGAGGGGACTTACGGGAACAGTGACCACGGACCCAGCCCTGACAGGGCAAGGCCACCAAGACTCGGGACCTCTCTGGAGCTGTGGGCAGGTGACCCCTTCACAGAGCCTCTAAGGCCCAGCTGTGAAGGGGCCAACACCCCCAGATGCTGGGGCTCAAGTGGGGTGACTGGAGGCCCCAGAAGGTGCTAGGAGAGCCAGAATGGACCACTGACCACTTATCCCTCTGCTTCAGGGTGACCCCGGCCCCCCTGGGCCCGCCGGCCTCCCGGGCAGCGTGGGGCTGCAGGTGAGTCTGGGAAGGGCAGGATGGTGGGATGGGAACTCAGCCCACTGAATGACCAAGCCCTGCACATTTCTGCTTCCCAGGGGGCCAGCTCAGGCTGGGGGACGGTCAGCTAGTACCCAAGTACAGGAGCACGGGCTGGCGGGGGTCCCACCTCTGCCAAGTCTGCTGATCTCCAGGCTGGTGCCCCCTCCCTCCGGGGGACCTGAGCTGAGGCGGAGGGCTCATGGAAGACACCAGGGCTCCCACCGTATCTTGAGAGCCGAGTCCCTGGGGCTTGCCAGGGTGAGGGTGCAGCGTCTGTGCCTCTCTCCCACAGGGCCCCCGGGGATTACGAGGACTGCCAGGGCCACTCGGGCCCCCTGGGGACCGGGTAAGTCCTGCAGCCCCTAGGTGGCTGGGGCCTGGTCGTCTGCACCTCCAGACTTCAGATGAGTGAGGCTCTGAAGCTGCCGGCGCCCTGGCCTCGCTCTGAGCCCCTGTTCCCGCGTATGCCTGGGTGAGGGCTGACAGTGCTCACCGACCCCCGCACGCGGTCCCAAGCTGCTGCAAGAGCTGCTCACGCGTGTACCGGGAGAGGGCTGATGAACTCTGCGCGCCGACACCCCCACACATGGTGCCAGGCTGCTGTGAGGGCTGTTATGGCTGAGGCCAGAGCAGAGGGGCAGGAGGATTTGGGGACTGCTGGGGGGCATCTTGGGGGGACTTGCTGAGGAGCCCTTGAGGAAGGGCTGCTTGTGTCTGGGCTGTCCCCGAGGGAGCTGGGTGGCTGGGGGGTTGCCAGCCAGGCCTCAGACTAGAGGATCTCAGATCTGCCTGTCCTCCATAGGGTCCCATTGGGTTCCGAGGGCCGCCTGGGATCCCAGGAGCGCCCGGGAAGGCGGTACGTGTGTCGCTGGATGTGGGTGCCGTGCATCATGGCCTCTCTCTCCTTCCCTCTGCTCCTCAGAACCCCCATTCCCACTGGGGCCCCCCTTCTGTGGCTGAGCTGTCACCTGGACACCCTGGGAGGGCTTATGGCGTGGGTAGGGGCGGCTTACCAATGAAACCCACTCTTTGTGGGACATTCACTTCCTTTCTGGTTCTGGACATGGAATGAGGGGTCACCATCATCCCTCTGGCACCTCTGGCCGTCTCTGACCACTCCTGGAGAGCTGTCCCCCACCCTACCATCTGACCATCTCCTGGAGGGCCCCAGCCCCACCCTCTGACCATCTCTGTGGTGTTAACTGTGTCCCTGCCCTGCCTCCATCATTTCCAGGGTGACCGAGGCGAGAGGGGCCCAGAAGGATTCCGTGGCCCCAAGGGTGACCTCGTAAGTGAGAGGGGACTTGACTCCCTGGGTCCTTATGTGGAAGAACCCAGTTCCCCTCCTGACTTGTGCTGGGGAGGGGGACACACCTGTTGGGGAGGGCTGCCCTGCCCTGGGTAGGCCTGGGGGTACGTGGGGGTCAGCCTGGCCCTGGAGGGCCCCAACTCCCTCCCAGAGCCCACATGGAAGCTCCGTGGCCCCCTGTAGAGTGGCCAAAAAGTCGGGTGGAGGGACCAGGCTCCAGGGTTTGGATCCCGCCCCAGAGAAAGGCTCTTGGGTGGAGCGAGTGAAGGTAACGTCAAGACAGTCGAGCATCGCGAGAGAGGAACTGGTGACTGTCCCCAAGCTGGTCAGTCTCTACCCTTCCCTCGACTGAGCCCTCACAGCGGGGGTAGCAGGGAGCCCCCGGGCCACACTTTAGCATTTCTGGGCTCCAAATACAGTTTTCTCCACGTACCCACAGGCCCAGGGTGGTGGCGAGGGGTGGTCCCTGCTGCTGCCCCGCCCGGAGCACAGCTCCATGGTGTCCCCAAGCCGCTGGCTGGGGAGTGCGTGAGGCCGTCTGGGAAGAGACCGTCACGGCTTCTGTCACTTGTGTGTCCTCTAGGGCAGACCTGGTCCCAAGGGAACCCCCGGAGTGGCTGGGCCAGGTGGAGAGCCGGTGAGTGCACATGGCTGCCCCTCAGAGAATGCTTCTCCCCCCGGGCCTGGCTACCGACAGGCAGACCACACTCAGAAGGGCCGGGGCTCAGTGCCCTCTGCTGTGGCCACCTTGAGATCCAGAATAACGCCTGAACAGCCCCACAGCCCCTCACAGTTCTCTTGCCCAGAGCCTCGGGAATGTGCAGAAGTAGGGGGTCTCAGGCTGGGTTTGCCTGCATGGAGGGCATGGGAAGTGAGGGCGGGTGGATAGCACCACTGGGCAGAGGGGGCACTCCCGGGGTCCCGGGCACCTGTGCAGGCACCTTCCTTCCTGCCCTGTGCCCACCCTCTTCCAGCCCCTTGTGTTGCCACTGCCCCTGGAGCTGTGCCCTCTCTTGGGACACCCAGCACTTGGCTGTGTCCTGATTCCAAAGCCAGTCCAGGGTGGACGAGGCAGGCCTAGCCTGAGTCCTAGCTCCCAAACCTCAGTTTTCCCACCTGCAAAATGGGCCAGAACCAAGGCTCCCTTAGGGAGTCACGGCGCACCTGCTAGACGAGGCCTCGGCCTTTGCTGTACCCCTCACGGGCGTGGCCACCTCAGTCATGAAACCAGACAACTGCCAGGGCCTGGGGGCAGCCACAGTTTCAGGCTGATGGAGGAGGAGGCTGCCCCCAGGACAGGACTGTAGAGGGGAGGGGGTGGCCCACTGCCCAACGGGCCTGACTCGTCCCTTGTCCCCAGGGCATGCCAGGCAAGGACGGCCGGAATGGCGTGCCAGGACTTGATGGCCAGAAGGTTGGCATGGGGCTGAGGGTGTGATGGGAGGGAGGGAAGGGGTTGGAGGGGAGTTCAGCCTCCCGAGGTCTCAGCCTCCCCTTCTCTGCCCCAATCTCTGTCCTTGCAGGGAGAGGCTGGTCGCAACGGTGCTCCGGGAGAGAAGGGCCCCAACGGGTTGCCAGTGAGTGCCCGGCGGGTGGGCCGGCCTGGGGCACCACAGCTTCTGTCTGCCTGGTGGCCCCTGTGGGGCTGGGTGGGGGGCCACTGTAGGGCCAGCCTCCTGTGAGAGGTTCTGGGGCCTGTGTCCGTCAGGGCCTGGCACAACCCCTGGTGCCCGTCGGGCGCTGCGGATGGTTGCCTGTGTGTTTGCATGTGTGAATGTGTTCATGGCCGTCTTCGGGTGCTGTGGGGTCATCATCCCTGTGGGCCCCGAGCAGGGGCTCCTTCGTCCGAGGCTGGGGAGGCTGTGAAAGACGCACCTAAGGTCGACGGGGCTGGGAGCAGTCGGCCTGCCCTTTGGGTGCGCTCACAGTCTGGCACCTGCCCGTGTGCACGCTGCCGTGACAGGCAGCCTTGACCCCACGCGCTCTCCTGGCAGGGCCTCCCCGGACGAGCAGGCTCCAAAGGCGAGAAGGGAGAACGGGTACGTGATGCAGCCGCCTTCTCCCTGGGAGGGGAGGCGGGGCCGGGATGCCGGAGGCGTGGGCGGGCTCTCAGGGCTCTCCTTCCTCTGCAGGGCAGAGCTGGGGAGCTGGGTGAGGCCGGCCCCTCCGGAGAGCCAGGTGTCCCCGTGAGTATCTGCAGCAGCCCTGACCTCACCCCATCCCGCACATGTGTGGACCCTGGCCTCACACCCTCCTTCCCCTCCCTGTAGGGAGACGCTGGCATGCCCGGGGAGCGCGGCGAGGCTGGCCACAGGGGCTCAGCGGTGAGTACAGGGACGTGGCCCTGGGTGGGGGGTTGGCACAGAACCATCGGCAGGTGGCCCCAGTTTCTGAGCAGGCTGGGGTGGCATTGGTTGCCTTGATAGGCCTGGCCCACAAAAGCCGAGGAAGCTGGGAGGGGTGGGGCCTTGCCTTCCTGACCCTTGACTGCTGGGGGACAGTCAGAGCCGGGCCAGAGCTGCCCTGTTTTCGGGCCCTCTGCTAAGCCCAGCCTTGTGCCTCCGGGGACTGAAATAATGATAGCGCCAGCCACAGATCCTGGGGGGACCATGGGCATGGGTGCCTGGCTCTCAGTCTGGCCTGACAAGTTGGGTCCAGGGCATGCCTGAGCTCTGAGACCCCCTAAACTGCCCCTGGGAGGTAGCCCTGCCTCTGTCTCCAGCAACCCAGCCAGATGGCTTAGAACCGGCTCCTCCATCCGCCCTGGAGGGGAGGCTGAACCGGGCTCCCCGGGATTCCTCGAACCTTGAGAAATCTACTCACACCTCACCTTTGTCTTTCAGGGGGCCCTTGGCCCACAAGGCCCTCCCGGAGCCCCTGGCATCCGAGGCTTCCAGGTAGGTGACGTTGGGGCGAGAGCCTGGTATGGGGGTGACCCAGACAGGCCAGGTGCACTGACAAGCCGGGACCTCCTTCCCCAGGGCCGGAAGGGCAGCATGGGAGACCCTGGCCTTCCAGGCCCCCAGGGCCTCCGGGGTGACGTGGGCGACCGGGTAAGTGGCCTTCTCAGCAGCAAGCACCCCTGTGCCCCACCCCCACCCCCTACCATGGTCCCTTGGGATGCAGACAGGGAGGGGTGCTCACAGCTCCCTGTGGAACATCTGGCCATGGGCGGTGTCCCCCTGCGCGGTGGAGGCAGTGGCCTCAGGGGCCTGAATGTGGCGCCTTTGGCCCCTCTGACCTTCCACGTGGTGTTCCCTTGGGCAGCGGCTGTGGGGCTTGCACGTGGTCGGCGCTCAGTCCTCAGGACGGGGGAGGCTGAGGCTCCAAGAACCACGCCTGCTCCTGCCTAGCAGTGTCTGTGGAAGCGCCACTGCCAGAGGGTCATGCTGCTACAAGATCGGTTTGAACACCAGTGTCCCAAGTGACTGTGACAGTCACAGCTTCTGTCTCATCAAGGCTTTTTCCTGCTGGTCTTGCAGCAGCTGCTGCGGTGACTCCTTGGGGGTCAGCACAGAAGGGGGCGTGGCCTGCCTGGGGCCCCAGCTCAAGGGGAGGAGCCTGTGGGTCTGGTCTGGGCCCAGCCATGCTCCCCCAGATCCCTGGGGACCTCGTGTGCCTGCCGTGGCTGCCCCTGCTGGGCAGACAGAACCCTTTTCAGACATGAGACATGGCTGCAGGTGCCCTTCATTCCAGGGCAGTGGTGGGGCCGCAGACACCACGGCTCCATGGGGGAGAGCAGGCTGTTTTTTAGCGCCAGGCAGGACATTCCAGGGGTGGGGGCTATGCCAGCAACCTCAGGGCCTCAGAGATCTCAGAGCTGGCACCTGCCCTCGGGGCACTGTGCCTGTCCCAAGCGTGGGCGGGGCCTGGTGGCTGTATTTTTTTGCTCTAAACTCACCAGAAAGCCTCACATTATTCTGCCCCTTGGGCAAGTTCTCACTTATGCAGACCTGTGAGCAAATGGACGTTTGTTTTTTTTTTTTTGAGACGGAGTTTCGCTCTTGTTACTCAGGCTGGAGTGCAATGGCGCGATCTCGGCTCACCGCAACCTCCGCCTCCTGGGCTCAGGCAATTCTCCTGCCTCAGCCTCCCAAGTAGCTGGGATTACAGGCACGCGCCACCACGCCCAGCTAATTTTTTGTGTTTTTAGTAGAGATGGGGTTTCACCATGTTGACCAGGATGGTCTCGATCTCTCGACCTCATGATCCACCCGCCTCGGCCTCCCAAAGTGCTGGGATTACAGGCTTGAGCCACTGCGCCCGGCCGCAAATGGACGTTTTTAAAAGGGGATTCATAGCAGCGCCCAGGCCTGTCTTCAGTTTCACAATCCTGTCGGAAGGTGGTTAGATGAGCTTTTCATCTTTGACTCCACTGTGATGGAATTATCCTGGGACTGTGTAAAAACACCCGCAGCAGGAGACTCAGAGCCACAGGGCTGTGAACGGGAGCGGGGCCTCTGGGCCTCTGTCTGGGATCCCGGGTTTCACAGAAGCCCTTGGTGCGGGACGATGAGGATGGAGGTGGCGTTTACCATTCCCGGGCCCAGGACAGGCTCACTTTGGGGATCCCTGTAATTCCTCTAATCCAGAGCCTCCTCTCCACCCGCAGGGTCCTGGAGGCGCTGCAGGGCCTAAGGGAGACCAGGTGAGCTGGGCACAGGCCAGGCCAGAAGGAATGACCGCAAAGCTGCACGGCTTCCCCCGGCTCCGCCCGCCCCGGCTCCAGCCCTGGCTGTGTGTTCCGGACGCCGAGCCTCCTTTCTCCTCCTGCTGTGTCCGTCAGTCACCCTTTCTGGCTCCTGTCATTCCTGCTTAGCACGGCGACAGCAACTCTGGGCACCCAACCTGCAGGCATGCCCCAGCGTCCCCTGCTGCCTTCCTGGGTGCAAACAGCTGGCCAGCCACATTGTCCCTGCATGGCTCTGGGTGCAACAGAAGCTGCTTCTGGTCCAGGAGGCACCAGTGGGAACCCTCAGTGGGAGGTGGTGTTTCCTGCCGTCCCGGAGAACTGACAGAGAGGGCAGGGGCTTTGCAGGTGGATTCGAAATGCATTTCTGTTCTTCGAAGCACTTTTCCCTCCCCAGAAGCATCAGGGTGGGTGGGGCTGTGGTCATGGCTGCCTGCCCTCCTGCAGTGCCTGCCCTGACTTCGGGGCACAAGGCCTTTCCCTGCGGCTGGAGGGCCTGCAGCAATCAACCCCTACCCGAAGTTCTGCGTGCCAGAAAAGCCTCGTTATGCAAACAAATGTCTTCCGCTTAGTGGCCTCGCCCCCGCCTACAGGTCTCCCAAGGCAGGGTCCTGCCTGGGCTGCCTTCGTGGCTGGTTAAAAGACAGCCATGGGGCCTGGGCTCTTGGCCTCAGCCTCAGGACGGACATGACACCCACGAGGCTTGAGAACTGGGAACCGAAGGCATGAAGCCCCTACCGAGGCGTGAACCGTTCTTTTAACTTTGGGGTGTGTTGTTTTCAGGGCATTGCAGGTTCTGACGGTCTTCCTGGGGATAAAGGAGAACCGGTGAGTGTGATGAGGTGACTTTACTGCCACCAGCAGCTGGGAAACCGTCCTGGGGAAAGAGTCAAAATCCGCAGCTCCCAGTGGAAGATCAGCTCTGCTGGTGGCTTGGGAATGCAGCAGGGTCTGGCAGAGGCCGGAGGCAGCTCTGAAGTCTGGCCTGACCTGGGGCCCAGAAGTGTGGGGCTCCCGTGCTCCGCCCCTGCAGGGCTACCACCTGCAGAAGCCGCCCCATCTGTGGGTTCTTGGCATGAAGTAGTCACAGCTGGGTTTCTGGTTTTGTTTTGTTTTGTTTTGTTTTTTTGAGACGGAGTCTTGATCTGTCGCCCAGGCTGGAGTGCAGTGGCACGATCTCGGCTCACTACAACCTCTGCCTCGTGGATTCAAGCGATTCTCCTGCCTCAGCCTCCAGAGTAGCTGGGATTACAAGCACCTGCCACCACACCCAGCTAATTTTTGTATTTTTAGTAGAGACAGCGTTTCACCATGTTGGCCAGGCTGGTCTCAAACTCCTGACCTCAGGTGATCCGCCTGCCTCGGCCTCCCAAAGTGCTGGGATTACAGGCATGAGCCATTGCGCCTGGCACACAGCTGTTTTTAACTAAAGAAAACTCCATTTCCATGGGCCTAAAACTCAGGTGAAGCATAAAATGAAATTCCTGTTTGAGTCTTAATAGACACATTTCTCTTTCCGGAGGTAACTAGATGGAGCGGTCTCCAGTTCCAGAGAAGGAAAACCCTTCTGGCTTTCCCAAGGCCAGGGTTTTAATCTATGATTAAGTCTTTCCTTTGTGTCTGGGTGAAATAGAAAGAGTGTAGCCCCAGGGACCCAGCCTCTGGCAGACCCCCCCACAGCGCAATGTAAACATTTTACGCCTCTGGGCAAATGACCTCAGTTGTGTTTCATTTAGTGAATTTTTTTTTTTTTTTTGAGACGGAGTCTTGCTTTGTGGCCCAGGCTGGAGTGCAGTGGAGCGATCTCGGCTCATTGCAACCTCCGCCTCCTGGGTACAAGTGATTCTCCCACCCCAGTCTCCCGAGCAGCTGGGAACCACAGGCCCCCATGGGTGAAGCTGCTCGGGAGGGCAGAGCTCTCAAGACCTAAGCACCTCTTAAATCTCCACCTCTCAATAGCGTCACAGCGGCAGTTCAACTGCAGCACGTGTTTTGGAGGAGACGTTCAAACCCAGCAGACTGTGTGTTGACACACCTGGGGCTCGTCATTCCTGAGGACCCAGCTGGAGGGGCCCAGGGTTTTAGGACCGAGAGGCTGAGGTCAGCATTAGGCACGCTAGTAAGATGAACCGAAAGGAAGGAAAGGTGTGTAAGACACAGCACTGTGCGGCTCCCGGCGTCACTCTTTCCCGGAGTCAGTTGTGGTGTTAATTTTAACTGAGACGGGGCCTCACTCTGTCACCCAGGCTCGGGTGCAGTGGCGTGATCTCTGTTTGCTGCAACCTCCGCCTCCCGGGTTCAAGCGATTTTCCTGCCTCGGCGCCGCCCCCCCCCCCCCAACCCCACTCAAGTAACTGGAATTACTGCCTGCCAACACGCCTGGCTACTTTTTGTATTTTTAGTAGAGACAGGGTTTCACCATATTGGTCAGGCTGGTCTTGAACTCCTGACTGTTCATGATCTGCCTGCCTCAGCCTCCCAAAGTGCTGGGATTACAGGCGTGAGCCACTGCACCTAGCTGAAAGTAAGATTTTAAAAAGAATCAGTACAATCACAGCAGTGTAAATGTGTAGGCAGAGAACAGGAGGAGCCACTGTCAGTACTCTGCTGCAGTCTGAGCAGGTGTGTGGAGGATGCGGGCATTTTATCTTCAGCTGTCTACCTCCCACCCACCCAACAATACACACTCAGTGAAAACACACTTTCCTCTTCACAGGGTCCTGGCGGCCTGGTCGGACCCAAAGGAGAGGTGAGTGCCGGGCGGCTGCTCCGATGACGCAAGCCGAGGGTGCCCGCTGGCTTCCTGCCCTCCGCTGGGCAACTGCCCATATCTGAGATGGTAAAAATGCTTGCTCTGGTCAAGGCTGGGCAAGATGGCTCTGTGCCGGCCGGGAAAGCACGCAGGGGCGGCTCTGGGCTCCTGGACTTGCCCTGACCCACCTTCCTCCTGTTTCTCTGCAGTCTGGCAGTCGAGGGGAGCTGGGCCCCAAAGGCATCCAGGGTCCCAACGGCACCAGCGGTGTTGAGGGTGTCCCTGGCCCCCCTGGTCCTCTGGGCCTCCAGGGCATCCAGGGTGTTCCTGGCATCACGGGGAAGCCGGGCGTTCCGGTACGTTGCTTTTCTGGCTCTCACAGGATTGAGATCGTGTTTTTTCCTAAACGAAGTTACTTTGCGGGGTGATGGTGGGAATGTTTGACAGAAGGTGCCGTTCCCATGCTGATGAATGTGTGGGGTGACTTCCAGGGGAAGGAGGCCAGCGAGCAGCGCATCAGGGAGCTGTGTGGGGGGCTGATCGGCGGTAAGTCAGCCAGCGCCGCCCACCCCGCCCGTTAGCCCTCAGGGTCTGGTCTGCCTTGGCGTCTGCCCGTCCTCTGCACTAGCGGGTGGCCCACTCGCCGGCCCTGGATTCAACCAGATGCCCGACATGCAGCAGGCGTCCTGAAGTCTGCTGACTGCATGGGATACAAGGAACAGCTGGGTGTGCCCCTGTGGCTGGCAGGGCAGGTCCCCAAACAGCCCCACCTGCTTCGCCTTCTCACTTTCAGGCTTCTCAGGGTCTAAAGGGCTGGGGGAGGGGGTCCTTTCTAGCTCTGGCACTTATCACCCCAAAGCAGTGAAACCATTTCCATCAATGAGAAGGAAATCTGCCTCTGGAGGGCAGCCCTGTGTAATCTTCTGTGCTTTACCTAACGGCACTTTTCACGACCCTCTCTCAAACGCCTGCACCCTTGCTTTTCCCAAAGAACAAATTGCACAGTTAGCTGCGCACCTAAGGAAGCCTTTGGCACCGGGCTCCATCGGCCGGCCCGGTCCAGCTGGCCCCCCTGGACCCCCGGGGCCTCCAGGCTCCATTGGTCACCCTGGCGTTCGAGGACCCCCCGGATACCGCGGTCCCACTGGGGAGCTGGGAGACCCCGGGCCCAGAGGTGAGTGGCTGACCCCACAACGCGGTGACCCTGCTATAAAAATCCACGGGGCTGACCTGCTGTAGGTGCCATGCGTGCTCCGTGGTAACTCCTGGAAGGTGGGCCCCTCGTGTTTTGGGGCCTAGCACAGTTAAATCCTTAGTAATCCTGTGGGAACTGGAACATTTAAAAAAATGTGATGTTTTTCTCAAATACCATCAGAAAAGTATTTGGCAGAGAAGGGTTAAAAATGTGAGGAATGGCCAGATGCAGTGGCTCATGCCTATAATCCCAGCACTTTGGGAGGTCAAGGCTCGTGGATTACTGGAGGTCATGAGTTCAAGACCAGCCTGGCCAACATGGTAAAACCCTGTCTACTAAAAATGCAAAATTAGCCAGGTGTGGTGGCAGGCGCCTGTAATCCCAGCTCCCCTGGAGGCTGAGGCAGGAGAATCCCTTGAACCCGGGAGGTGGACGCTGCAGTAAGCTGAGATCGTGCCATTGCACTCCAGCCTGGGCCAAAAGAGTGAAACTGCATCTCAAAAAAAAAAAAAAAAAAAAAAAAAAGTGAGTAATGGATAATTAAGAGTCGCATTTATACTGATGAGACGCACCTTCATGAAAACTGGCAGCATGTGAAAATTTGTTTTGCAAAAGGCAAAAATACAAAATTCAAAGTTTTTTTCCATATTAAACACTATAAACAACTCAGCTTTGACTTAGAAAGAGGATGAAAATCACTGACAGGAGCTGCTGGACTGCAGACCCCACACGTGGCTGCGGTGTGCATGGCCGGCAGTGCTGACTTGCCGGGAAGGCTCTGGGGTACCCGGTGTAAGCTGGGGAGTCTCAGCACGGAAAACACCACTGTGTTAACTGTTGGACACAAACCCTTACCACAGTTTTAAATTTTTAAAATTTCAAGTTGCCTTCCATCTGTGGCATTCAGTCAGCTGCCCTTCAGCCCAAGTGAAGGATTTGAAGCTCATGATTCTAGTGGATTCCACCATACTGACCGAATAACTTCCTGTTTGCCAAAGATAGTGTCAGAAAACGTTTCTAAAGGAGACCTAACGCTGTGGGTTCCTGTCTTCATCTGAGACGGAATTGAACTACTTAGCAAGGTGACAGCGTTCCACAGCGAGACTATGTCACTTAAAGAGACTAAGATTGAAGATTTTCGGCACTTGAGAATCAAATTCATTTTGTTGTCCGTATGTCCAAATTATCAAATAGCTTCATGTTTTTCTGGAAACTTCTTTAAGTTTTGACCTTCCCAGGCCATCCAGGCCAGCCTGATGCCATGTGAGGGACTGCAGTCTTCAAAAAGAGACCACGTAAGATTTTCTCCAGAGAGGGACCTGGACGCCATCGAGACTTTGAAAATAAAATTCAGGCCAGGCACGGTGGCTCACACCTGTAATCCCAGCACTTCGGGAGGTTGAGGCAGTGGATCACCTGAGGTCAGCAGTTCGAGACCAGCCTGGCCAACATGGTGAAACCCTGTCTCTAAGAAAAATACAAAATTAGCCAGGTGTGGCGGCGTGCACCTATAATCCCAGCTACTCCTGAGGCAGAATTGCCTGAATCCGGGAGGCAGAGGTTGCAGTAAGCAGAGATTGCGCCACTGCACTCCAGCCTGGGCAACAGAGCAAGACTGTCTCCAAAAAAAAAAAAAAAGAAGAAAGAAAATTCTAAAAGCACCTTAATCACTTTTACAGTTCTCAGCAGTGTGGCATCAGTGAGCAGAGGCCACACAGACCCATGTGGGCTGTCCGTCCTCTGGGACTGCTGTGCCTTCGCACCTGTGACGATGGGCATGTCTGCGGCAGGAGCCGCTTCCTGGAGAGGTGCTTGCTGCCTCCGGCCGCTGTCAGTGAAGCAGGCACGGATGCCGGAGCTGGCCATGGGAACTGAATGCGAATCTAAATGCGCCCCGAGACCCACCGCAGGGCCTCGCTCAGAAGCCTCTGTTACCGTGGTGCCTGGCGCCCCCTCCCTAGAAAAGCAGCACCAGGCAGGACTGCCTCCGCTGCCCAAGGGCACACACAGTAGGTCAGCCTGCGGCGTCGGGCCAGTCACGCGAGAATTGCTGGGCACGGGGGCCGCTGAAGCCCCTGCCCCACTGGGAGGCCCGCCGGAGTTCTCAGGTCTTGGGCACCGCTGGTCACGCCTCCGTGTCTCATCCACTTCAGAGAGGCGCAGGATTGAAACAGACACACGAACACCAAGCAAAACGAAGCTGGTGCTGCGGCGTCCATCGTCACAGAACAGACCGGCTCTGGGATGCTGCCGCCTCACAGGACCCGTGTTGACAAAGGCTCGCTCTACCAGGAGCAAATCCTAGAGGGACCCACGTGCATCCAGCCTCACGTCTTCAGGGCTGACACGGCGTGGTGGCTTGGCCTGGAATCCCAGCACTCTGGGAGGCCGCGGTGAGAGGATGTGTTGACAGAAGTTCAAGACCGGCCTGGGCAATACAGTGAGACCCCATCTCTCTAAAGTTAGCTGGGCGTGGTGGCGCACCTGTAATCCGAGCTGCTCAGGAGGCCGAGGCGGGAGGATCCCTGGAGTCCAGGAGGCTGAGGCTGCAGTGAGCTAGGATCGCGCCACTGCACTCCAGCCTGGGCGACAGAGGGAGACCCTGTCTCAAAACAAAAAACAAACAAACAAACAGATGGCAGCACATCCCGCTCCTCACGCAGCACAACACAGACCTGAGATTCGAGTGACGCAATCGGAGGGCGTGAAAATGCTTTAGATGACCCACGGCCGAAATCCTATTTTAAATATGAATGCAAAGTAGTAACAAATCCTCAACTGCTTAATAGGCATACATGTTTTTTGCCTATACAAAACTAAAGTCCCATTGAAACCGGCTGCCGGAGGTCAGGGAGGAGTTGAGCCACGCACGGCCCAGCAGCAGGTGCAGGTTCTGACGGATGCTTCGTGGCTGTGGGGATGTCGGGGTTCCCCCAGCACCCCTGGGCCGTGTGCCAAGCCTGGGGCTGATGGCTGCGGCCTGCACAGCCTGTTGCTGTGCTGGGTCCCGTGGGCACCTCTCACACGGCGGTGGGTGTCTGTTAAATTCATCCAAACACGGGGAGGGTATAAGAATTGGGTGTGATTATCTCATGGGACCACATCGCCTACGCATGCGTCGGGGACCTGCAGCCATCCTGCGGCGCGAGGCTGTGCAGGTGGGTCCCTCTGGTCAGACCCTGTTAAGCCCTACGTGTGTGACGTCTGTACGTTTCTAATGGTTCCACTTCAGTAAAAAGTAGGCACCCTGTGTGTTAGCAAAGGTCAATCAGACATGGCTATGGTGTGGCTGCACAGATGCTCTAACCATGTGTCTGTTTACACCTTGTGACAGGAAACCAGGGTGACAGAGGTGACAAAGGCACGGCGGGAGCAGGACTGGACGGGCCTGACGGAGACCAGGGGCCCCAAGGTACGAGCCCACCGCCAGCAGGGCTTCACCGGGCGGCGTCTCTTCCGCGGTCTCCTAACTTGATGCGGGGTGCGCTTGGGTGACAAACAGGTCTCTCTTCTCCTCTTCTCCTGGCAAAGCAGCCTTGGAGGCAAGATTAGGAATTGTCTCAAGAACCGCTTAATATATAAAAGTTTAATCTGGGCTGAGTGCAGAGCTCACGCCTGTGATCCCAGCACTTTGGGAGGCTAAGGCAGGCGGATCACCTGAGGAGTTCGAGACCAGACCTGCCAACGTGGTGAAACCCCGTCTCTACTAAAAATACAAAAATTAGCCAGGCATAGTGGTGGGTGCCTGTAATCCCAGATACTTGGGAGTCTGAGGCAGGAGAATCGCTTGAACCCGGGAGGCAGCGGTTGCAGTTTGCAGTGCTCCGAGATCATGCCATTGCACTCCGGCATGGGTAACAAGAGTGAAACTCTGTCTCAAAAAAGAAAAAAAAAATCGTAATCAGTAAGCAGAGCCTCACGGATCTGTTTGAGCCAAGTCCATTTGCTTAGATTGTTTAAAAAGCTATTTAGTATCTATTTCAGTTAAATTCTAACAGAATTTTCTCTTAATTGACCTGAGCATACACTGATTGTTCCTTTTTTTAAAAAAAAGATGGGGTTTCTCCATGTTAGTCAGGCTGATCTCGAACTCCTGACCTCAGGTGATCTGCCCACCTTGGCCTCCCAAAGTGTTGGGATTACAGGCGAGAGCCACCACGCCCAGCCATGAACAATTCCATTTTTAATGTCAAAAATAAATGCTTTGTCATGGAGGGAGGCAGCACAGGGGTCCCTCGAAAAGCGCCCCCCACCCCGCCCCCCCGGCTATCCCTGCCTTAGGCTGGTGCCTTCACAAAACCAGGAAGCCTTAGACTCTGAGGATGTGTGTGCAGGTGAGAAGGGACCTGGCTTCCACCTCTCCCCGGGTGCCCTAGAGCCCTCCCCCCTCCTCTCCTCACTCACCCCTCTCCCTACTCACCCCTCTCCCCAGGTGCCTGGGAGCCCTCTCTTCCCGAACTCACACCACTCTCTGGGTGCCCTGGAGCCCTCCCCTCTCCTCTCCTCACTCACACCCTCCCCAGGTGCCCAGGAGCCCTCTCTTCCCGCACTCACACCACTCTCTGGGTGCCCCATGCTCCTGGGCTCTCTATTGCTGACCTAGCTCTGCCTCTACCTGGTGTCCAAATGTGCAGGTGTCCCAGGCCCCCAGCTGCATCTCTCTACCTGTGTGGCTCTGAACAGGGTCTGTGTTGCTCTCCCTGCTGGGCAGCAGCCTCCCGGCTGTACCCCAACCACACCATTCTAGACTTTGTCACCTCTTCTCAGTGAATGACCCTGTTACCCCACTCAGGCGGCTGCTCACCCTTCCCTCACACCCCCAATTCCACCGTCATCGTTGACCAAAGCCAGCCCACAGCCTCCCACCCAGGGGCCCTGCCCTCTCCAGATCTACTGCTCACTCACACAGCCCCACAAAACACATGCAAGTCAGAGTCGGGTGTCCCTCAGGACGCCTCCGCACCCTGCCCGGGGCTGGCCACACCTGGCCTTTTTGGTGCACTCATGCCAGCCAGCGCCGCCCCCCGACCCGTGACCTCCCCTCAAGCCAAGACTGAGCTGGTGGAAGAGCGGGGCTTGCCTGCAGCTGGACGCCAGTCCCCACTGCTTTCAGTCGAGCTGCAGCTGAACTCACCCTCTGCTCTGTCCCAAGGACCCCAAGGCGTGCCCGGCAGCAGCAAGGACGGCCAGGACGGTGCTCCCGGTGAGCCTGGGCCTCCCGGGGATCCGGGGCTTCCAGGCGCCGTCGGGGCCCAGGGGACTCCGGGGATCTGTGACACCTCAGCCTGCCAAGGAGCCGTGATGGGAGGGGTCGGGGAAAAATCTGGCTCTAGAAGCTCATAAAATCCATCGGAAGGAAGCCAGCAAGTGACAAGGACACCTGACAAAGCAGAGTGGCCACGAAGGAGCGGGCAGCGTGGCAGGCTGGCCACGTCCGGGAGAGCGGGCTGCCGCCCCAGGGCGTGCCTCAGCTAATCCATCTGTAAGCCCAGCGTTTGCAAGAAGGCAGGCTGTATCTATAGAATGTTTTGTACAATTCCGTGAGCTGAAACATCTTCAGTAACTTGTTTACATAGCATTGTGTAAAGACTATGATCTCATCCCAATAAAACGATACATTCAATCTTCAGATTGACTGGCCACAGAGTAACAAAAAATAAAGAATTTAATGTACAGTAAATTCTCTCCCATACAAAGATCTAGTCTGATGTTTGTGTGCAAACTCACGTCTCCAGTCACCCGGACCGATCGCAGGTGACTCTGTGGTGCACTAGCGTCTATTGGTATTATCTGTTGTCATAAATAAAGCCACTCATTTAAAAACAACTCAAAATACCAGTGTATTTCTCCTAAAGTAATGAGTGGGCGTTTAGGCAGTCTACCGAGATGATATTTCATTTGTGGGCAAAAGTAGCTTTAAAGCAAGTATCTGGAAAATGTTTAGCAAAAAGGTTTAAAATGGTCCTGCCTGTTGCAATACAGCACCACGTGACTCAAAATCATTACGAGGGGGTGTGATACAACAAATGAATAAAATTTCCAAACTGTTTTTAGTTAACAATGTAACTTGTTCCAATTGCTAAAGGGGCGTATTTAAAATGTAAATAAGATAAGTAAAAAGCAATGTACCTTTTCAGACTACAGAAAGTATCATGTTAAGAAAACATGATGGAATCGGGTAATTGAAAAAAATACTTACTAATTGTCAAGATGGCGTCCTCCTCAAGTGGTCGAAGAGGACATTAATGGGTAAGTATTTGGTTCTAGATAAATATTTTTAGAAATGTGCTCTCAAAGTCCCTACCGGAGTCCTGTCAGCTTGCGTCACGTCCCTTTCGAGTCAGACTATCGGAGCAGAATTCCAGGGCTGTGGAGGACGTGCGTGGGTCACAGAGGAACGGCTGTTCACTCCCAAAGGATTCCTTCAGTCCGATCACTTGATCTCCATCGGGGGGCTACTCTGCAGACCGCCCTGTGCAGGGCAGGTCACCAAGGAGTCCGGTCTCGTCAGCTTTAGCCTTCGGCCAGTTTTACCGCAAAATACACTCTCAAATTCCTAAAGTTAAGAAGTGGTCGTTAATATACTGAATTCATAGACATGAAAACTGCTGTCTTCCAATGTGCAAAAGGTTTAAATTAAGAGCTATGTAAATGACTTTAAAGTACAGTTTTAAGGCATCATTCACAAATTCATGTCATCCCTCACAAGGGGGTTTATATAATAAACAGATTTCAACTTTTTTTTTCAAATAGCAGTTACACTGTACATGTATTTTTATTTAATTTTTCCAATATGCAGAATGTCTGGCCTCACTGTATTGATTTTATTGTGGTAAAATATACATGACATGAATGTTTCAACCATTAACAGGCTCTAGCTAATAAATGTGTAAACCCAGAATTTGAGAGAAAGTAGAGTGTAGATACTATTAAATGTGTCAGGCCAGGCGCAGTGGCTCATGCCTGTAATCCCAGCAGTTTGGGAGGCTGAGGAGAGTGGATCACCTGAGGGGAGTGGAACACCTGAGGTCAGGTGTTCAAGACCAGCCTGACCAACATGGTCAAACCTCATCTTTATTAAAAACACAAAATAATCTGGACATAATGGCACATGCCTGTAATCCCAGCTACTTAGGAGGCTGAGGCAAGAGAATCGCTTGAACTTGGGAGGTAGAGGTTACAGTGAGCCAAGATCATGCCATTGCATTCCAGCCTGGGCAACAAGAGTGAAACTCCATCTCAAAAAATGAATTTAAAAAAGTTTCAACCATTAACAAGTCAGGGGCATCTATCCGCATCCCACAGTGCCTCACTCCCCTCCGCACTGCCACACACTCAGGGTTCAAGGCCAGCACAGTGGAGGTGCTGTTCGCCGAGATGGCTCCGTCCTCGGGGAGACCCTGGTGGTACCCTGCCGGCAGGGTAGGGATGGGTGGGCTTGTTCCTGCCACACCACCTCTTTTACAGAGGCCTCAATTATAATGGTGGGATCTCAACTGTGGGTAACCCCCGACATGGGCACCGAGGAAGGACAGCTGTGCAAACCCCAGGCACAATTAGTTCCTGAAGAATATCTTAGTTTATAGGGTTATTAGTCAGCTATTTCCTTTATATAATCCTTTATACATAATCATACATTAGTCTGCAGAATCACTGCCCGAAGTGTGACTCACTGCCTCCATAATCGTACCTGTACCCAGCATACTTAGCTCCGTGTCTCTCTGTATGATCATATAGAAAGCTAATTCCTTCTTGAAATCTGGTGTTCGGGAGGTTTTGTCTGCAGCTTGTCCTGCTACAGCTCAATCGCTGCTCACTGCGACCTCCAGCTCCTGGATTCAAGTGATTCTCCTGCCTCAGCCTCCCAAGTAGCTGGGACTACAGGCGCACACCACCACACATGGCTAACTTGTGTACTTTTTAGTAGAGATGGGGTTTCACCACGTTGATCAGGCTGGTCTCGAACTCCTCATCTCAGGTGATCTGCCTGCCTCGGCCTCCCAAAGAGCTGGGATTAAAGGCGTGAGCCACCACACCCGGCACAATATTTTATTTTTATAACAGGTCACGACATAGCATTTGGTTCATTCTGCCACATACAAGCTATCAACGCTCTGCAGCTGAGAGGCCCTCCAGTGGCATGTTCAAAGAGAATGAAAATCCATAGGTAGGCCAGGCGCAGTGGCTCACGCTGGTAATCCCAGTACTTTGGGAAGCCAAGGAGGGTGGATCACCTGAGCTCAGGAGTTCGAGACCAGCCTGACCAACATGGTGAAACCCGGTCTCTACTAAAAGTACAAAAATTAGTCAGGTGTGGAGGCGGGCACCTGTAATCCCGGCTACTTGGGAGGCTGAGACGAGAATGGATTGAACCTGGAAGGCAGAGGCTGCAGTGAACTGAGATCGCACCACCACACTCCAGCCTGGGCAACAGAGCGAGACTATGTCGGGGGGGGGGGGGGGGGGGGTGGAGTAAACATGGAAGGATTTAGGTACAAAGAAGCACGTGTCTGCAACTGACTATCAAACAGCTCCAAAAGCTGCCTGGAGAAGCTGGGACTGACAGAGAAAATGGAACAAACTTGGACCAGCCTACAGAGGCGCTTCATGTACTGTTCCTGCAATTTGAAATTACACCAAAATTTTAAATTACCAAAAGTAAACAGAGCCATCTAAACCTGAAATGTGCGGCATTCTCTAGACAACTGGCCTGATCGCTTCAAAGCCTCAATGCCACAGTAAATAACTGTGGGAGGGATTCTTGCAGCTCAAAGAGCCTGAAAACCACCATCGAATGCAGGGTATAAGCCGTGGCTGGGTGCTGGGCTTCGGGGAAGAAACAGCTATGGAAGTCATTTTTAGAACATTTTGGCTGGGTGTGGTGGCTCACACCTATAATCCCAGCACTTAGGGAGGCTGAGGCAGAAGGATCACTTGAGCCCAGAAGTATGAGGCCAGCCTGTGAAACATGGCAAAACCCCATTCCTACAGAAAATTTAAAAATTGGCTGGGCGTGATGGTACACACCTGTAGTCCCGGCTACTCAGGAGGCTGAGGCAGGATTCCTCAAGCCCAGGAGGCAGAGGCTGCAGTGAGCCATAATTGTGCTACTGCACTCCAGCCTAAGAGACAGTGAGACGTCTCAAAAAAAAAAAAAAAAAAAAAAAAAAAAAAACATTTTGGGCAAATCTGAATAGTCTGTGCATTACAGGATACAAAAAAGACTTACCGTCTTGGTGAGGCGTGATAATGGTGCTGGGGTTACATGAAGGCCTGTCTTTGGGAGATTTTTTTTTTTTTTTTTTTTTTAGAAGAGTTTCACTCTTGTGTCACCAGACTAGAGTACAGTGGCGCAATCTCAGCTCACTGCAACCTCCACCTCCTGGGTTCAAGTGACTCTCCTGCTTCAGCCTCCTGCGCAACTGGGACTACAGGCGCCCACCACCACACCTGGCTAATTTTTTGTATTTTTAGTAGAGACGGGGTTTCACCGTGTAAGTCAGGATAGTCTTGATCTCCTGACCTCATGATTCGCCTGCCTCGGCCTCCCAAAGTGGGGTGATTACAGGTGTGAGCCCCTTTTGGAGATTTACGAAGAAATATTTAGAGATGAAGGTTCATGTCTTTGAAATTGTGCATGGATACAAAATAAATACGGTACATGTTAATTGCTGAGACAGGAGGATGAGTGTACAGGTGTTCGCTGTACTTCCTCTGTTCACTAGGATACTAATGTGAAGTCAATCACCGATTGCTGACTCCGCCCCATCCTCCTCTGTGCCCCTGCCTCCCGACGTCCCCACCCGATCCCTCTCAGAATGCCGAGATCCTGCTTCTGAGTCTTCATTCAGTAAACAGCCCCATCCACACAGCCACTGAGGCCAAACCCCTAGTCATCCTGACACCTTCTTCCCATCGCATCCCCATCTGATACCGCCACAGACACAAGCAGCCTCGTGCCCTTCCTCCTCCCCAGCGCCGTCACCTGGCTGCCATCGTCCAGCCAGCCACAGTGGGGTGATGGGGGTCAGGCAGTGTCACTTGCTACCAAAAGCCTGCCAAGACACCCAACCCTCAGGACTTGGGCCCCACCAGGCCCCAGCCTGTCCCGGGGCCCTGCCTGGCAATGGTGGCTGGCAGGCAGGTAGGCACTCTTCAGACCCTACCGCCTCCAGGCCCCAGCTGCCAGCTCCCCATCATGATTGGGTCTTGGCTGGGCACCTCCCTCAACCACCCAATCCAAAGCAGTCCCCCTAGCCAGGCTGGTTCACAGCAGCGTCCTCCACCGGCAAGGCCCTGCCCCTACCATCTGCATGTTTCCTTGTCCCTGCCTCCCTCTGTGCCCGAGATGTCTCTGTCTTGCCCAGGGTACCCCAGCACCCTCAGCAGTGCCTGGGCACCCTGGAAAAGACCTGCTGAGTGAAATGTGTACTAAAATAATGCAGAGAAATCACTTAAAACTCTCACTATTGCATCTTTTAGAACAAAAATATGTATGCAAGTAAACAGGACAAACCACAAAGGAAGTAAGAAGCACCCACGTGTCTCGGCCTTCTACGTTCTAACGCCCTGAGAAAACGGGATTGACTGGACTTCAGCCTATTTCTTGGTGGGTCTAACAATGTGATCCAGAAGTAATCAGGGTCAATGTAATTCCATTTCAGAACTATTCGGCAAACACCATGTATGTAAAAGAGCATATCTATAAACACTGGGTCTACTTAATCTCTGACCATACAGTCAACGTTTTTTAAATTTCAAAAATTATAAATGCCTTCGTCTTACTTGAGTAAACTGTATCAATGATGATTTACTAATAGGTACACAAAGCCAAAACATTAAAGCATTTTTTAAAACATAAAAGCTTTATTTTATCAAAACATACCAACAGTCTACCTCTAACAATAATCTTCAAGAGAACCTGAATCATAAACAACCATCAATGATCCAGTTAGAATACATTTAACTTAGTATCACTTTATAATGCAATTAAATGTATAAGGAAAATAAAGTATGCAACTCACAAGATGTGAATGTCATGTGCACACAGAAAAGAGAGATGAGGTTAAGTCACTACATGGCGCTGAAGTGGAGAGACCCTCACTCAACTGAGCCCAGCTGTGGGGGGGACCTCTCTCCAGTCACCTGATGACAGACACGAGAGCCCTTCTTTTGAGACAGCGTCTCGCTCTGTCACCCAGGCTGGAGTGCAGTGGCGCCCTCCTGGCTCACCACAACCTCTGCCTCCCAGCTTCAATGATCCTCCTGCCTCAGCCTCCTGAACAGCTGGGACTAGGGGCTCCCACACGACCAGCTCACGTCTGCCTGCTGCAGCAACCGTGGCTCGTTCTCTAGTCGGACTCCTGCCCAGGCCACAGCAGCAACTCCGCCACAGCTCTGACCAGGTATAAAGTCAGGACGCTGCACATGTTATTTCACTAAGGTCTGCTCACTCCTGGAAGGTCAAAGAGCCACTCACCCTGGCCAGCGCAACGCTGAGACCGGGACCTGGAACCTGGGTCCCCCCAAGGCAGGGCCCAGAACCAGTCCTGCGACTGACATCTTCTTCCTTTTGGACCACTGAGGGGCTGACGGAACTCCCGCATTCAAACCGCACGTCCGGTTCCAGCCAGGCATGGCGGCTTGCTGCAGCCCACTGCCACGACCACACAGACAGGATCAAGGCAGGGTGGCTGTCCCGAGGGACTGGAGATGCTGGCGTTAACACCCCAGCTCCCCCGAGTCACCCAGTCCACAGAAATACATCTCTTACAAACCTTCTGGGCATACTTGAGGTCCAGATCAGACTATTTGACACTTACCTGCATTTCTGTTTTTCTTTCTTTTTGGGGGGTGGGGATGGGGCAGGGTCTTGCCCTGTTGCCCAGGCTGGCATGCAGTGATATGATCTCAACTCAAACCCCCAGGCTCGATCAATCCTCCCCCGTCAGCCCCGAGCAGCTGGGACCACCGGCGTACGCCACCACACCAGGCTCATTTTTGTATTTTTTATAGAGATGTTGTCCTTGCCATGTTGCCCAGGCTGGTCTCAAACTCCCGCGCTCAAGAGATCCCCCGACTTCGGCCCCTCAAAGTGCTGGGATTACAGACATGAACCACTGCGCCTGGCCGATTTTTGTTTTCCGATTCTTGCTTTCATCCCTTACACAAGGTTTTCTGAGGGCAAAAATCATGTCCCACACAACCGTCAGACCATATTTGCTATCTGACAACTGACTCTTCGGTTATTTACACACTGCAGTGTAACACACATAGGCTGTACCAATTACTTTAATAAATAACAAGTTACAGAATTTTTTTTTTTTTGAGATGGAGTCTCGCTTTGTCGCCAGGCTGGAGTGCAGTGGCGCAATCTTGACTCACTGCAACCTCTGACTCCCTGATTCAAGCGATTCTCCTGCCTCAGCCTCCCAAGTAGCTGGGATTACAGGTGAGCAGTACCACACCCAGCTAATATTTTTGTATTTTTAGTAGAGACAGGGTTTCACCATGTTGGCCAGGATGGTCTCAATCTCCTGATCTTATCATCTGACCATCTCGGCCTCCCAAAGTGCTGGGATTACAGGTGTGAGCCACCGCGCCCAGTCGACAAGTTACATCATTAACGAGCAGAGTTTTGTTCATACGGGACTTCGTATTTTATGTTAGATTCCAGGAAACAAAGGATTGTTTGAGTTATCCTTAGGAAGGTAAGAGAGACATTGATAAGGAAAATTTGTGAAATTCTGAAAATCCCCCTGGCCTAACACTAACCTTTTTAAGAGAATCTCCATGTCTTTCCTGGATATATTTCAGGAATGCTGTGGTCCACTGCAGAGTTGTGGCCTTATCAGTCTCGGCATTGCAGAACGGGACTAAGAGATTCAACTCGTCACAGCAAATGCGGATTCTGCGCCTACAGTCAAAACCCAAAGTCATCACCAAGAGAGGCTGGAGCAAAACAAACGTGTAAAAGGAAGTGTTTCGCTAGGACTGGAGGGAACCAGAGCTCAGGATGCCTGGCCCGAGTGCCGTGGAAGCAGCCATCATCACGGGAAGCCCCCCGGCTTTGCCACGGCCTTGTCTAGAGGCGGCCACTGCACTGCCTTCGGGATGCCAGCGCATCCGTGGGTGCCACTGCAGCCCCATGCCCCACATACTCCCTGGAGCTTTCCCTATCTACTTCTCACAGGCCAGGTTCAAGTCTCTGGATGAGGAATGGCTCCAAAGGCCCTGAAGCTGGAAGCGACGTTTTGTGTCTGTGCTTTCTCTGGGCAGATCACTCTCTCATTCAAGACTGAAACTGCTTGCCCCTCAGAGGCCAAATACCCCACCGGAAACTCATGTACACCTTTCAGATTCTCCAAGGGGTCCCGATTCAAAAAGGATCATGGCCCAACGCTCTGTTAAAATCCTGAAACTTAGTCTTTGTAGGGACAATTTAAGCAACTTGAGTCTTGCTATTAAGACAGTTTCTTAAACGTTTCCATGTTATATTCAGTAACACGTAAAGTCCTAAACAAGCAGATACCAAGCAACTGATTCAATACGGCCCTGCCCATTCATCTTCACTCCCGTACATTTAGAATTTTAATGAGAGACTTTGCAAGGTCAAAGCAGCAGCTGGCATTTATTAGGTGCTTTTGGACTTCTAGGCACTAAGCCAAACTTTTTTTTTTTTTTGAGACAGAATCTCACACTGTCACCCGGGCTGGAGTGCAATGGCGTGATCTCGACTCACTGCAACCTCCGCCTCCCAGGTTCAAGCGATTCTCCTGCCTCAGCCTCCCAAGTAGTAGGGATTACAGATACCCACTACCACACCCGGCTGACTTTTTGTATTTTTTAGTAGAGACGGGGTTTCACTTTGTCGGCCAGACTGGTCTCGCACACCTGACCTCAAGATCCGCCCGCCTCGGCCTCCCAAAGTGCTGGGATTACAGGCGTGTGCCATTGCACCCGGTCTATTGAGCCAAACACTCTTTATCAGCTCATTTAATTCTAACCACAAGTTTGTGCAGTAGAGCTGGAAGTCAAACTTTCAAACTGTCAACACATGGTCTAAGGCTTTCCACACAGCAGGTACTCAATAAATGTCTATGAAATAAATGTCAGAGCTGGTGCAATGCCCTTCGTAATTCACAGTAGGTTCAGGGAAGTCCTTAGTCTGTGTGTGTATGTATCATCAAAGTTATTTAGCTAGCTTTTTTCTTTTTTTTTTTTGAGACGGGTCTCACTTGTGGCCCAGGCTGGAGGGCAGTAGCATGATCATGGCTGACTGCAACGCTGACCTCGCAAGCTCAAGCAATCCTCTCACATCTTAGCCTCCCAAGCAGCTGGGACTACAGCTGTGCGCCACCGCCACCCCTAATATTTTTGGTTTTTCTTTAGAGACAGGGTCTTGCTATATTGCCCCGGCTTGTCTCAAACTCCTGGGCTCCAGCAGTCCTCCCACCTTGGCCTCCCAAAGTGCTGGAATTACAGGTGTGAGACACTGCACCCAGCCCTAGCTAGTTTGAATAGATCCCTTGAAAAGAAACTGCCTTGCCCAGCATTCAACCTTGGAGCTTCAAACTCCAGTACGTCTCACTTGCTGCTATTTATTTCCTGAATGTAAACCAGAAACTGGTACACAGTACCAATACTCAACGAATTACATAATTGATTAATTATAGATTAGGGAAATGTTGCATGAAAACCCAATTATAATAGAAAAAAATTAACCACTCCTTACGTCTACACAGAAGGATACCACAAATAAAATCCACAGACAGAACCACTTAAATAACAATTTTAACCTCCTCCTTCCCAGCAATCTTAAAAGAACCAGGCAAAACCCACAGAACCGTTGGCTGGTAAGCAGCACTTACTGTCACCGCCTGACCGCTCTCCTCTGAAAAGCCTGCATGCAAGGCTGGCCCCACAGCCTGGGAGCCTAGATTCAGGGAGATGAGTTAAGACGGACCTGCGCTGTGCAAACAACATGGCCGACCCTGGACCCCCGCCTTCTTTCTGGGGGGCGGGACTGTGGCTGCAGGCGGGGAGACTGCCTACGGGACAGGCCTCTGGTCTCTATCGAGCTTTCCTCGTTGGCAACCCCTCACCCACATTTCCAGACCACACGGCTGGAGGCATTAGGGCAGCGTGCCTGACTGCTCAGGGTGCTCTTCGAAGCTGGCACTTGGTCTCCTGCCTCCTCCCCACGTGCCTTTGCTATCTTGCCTGGCAGCCTTTCTCCTGAACAAGTCACAGCCTGAGAGCGACTGCACGCCGAGTCCCAGGAGTCCTCCTAGTGAGCAGTGAGCCTGGGCGCAGTCTGGGGGATCCCTGAGCCATCTGGGAAAGTCAGTGACGCTCCTACCTCCTCTCCCCCTTCTGAGCACAGAAATGGCTAAGGATCGTTTTGTCTGTGATAACCACGCCTGACTACGGTGACCATAAGCAAGTCAGCCTGAGCAGCCGTCGCATGCATTACCTTCTGTCTCTTTCCATTCGGTTATGCCTCTCCCTACGCTGAGACCTTCCTCCCTGGGGCCCACTCTGGGCCTGCTCCCCCAGGCTGGGCTGTGAGGACTCCGAGGACGGCCAAGCGCCCTGGGTGGCTGCGGCACCTTCGCCCACATTCTGAATCTCTCCGAGGGCTCTTCGTTCTACATTTGTGTCCAACTGACGCATTCTACTCCGATTCCTCTTATTTAGTGCTTGTTTGCATAGCGCTTCTTCTTTGCAAAAGAAAAAAAAAAGCGGTTTTTAATTTTTTATTCTTATGTCAATTAATGCTGAATATACTTTTGGCCTTTTCAATCCAAGATAGAAACATGCTGGGAAAGCGGCACAGAGAGGCGCACCAGGCTGTGCTGCTGGGGCCGCTCGGTGTCAGCAGGAACATGAAGCTCCGAGTCTGTTTTATACAACAAGGCTAACGAGAACCAATCGTCACAGTAAAGACCCCTTCCAAGTGCTATGCAACCGATACGACTTCATCAAAAGCCCCTGTTTTTAATCAGCAGGTGTTAGCTATGAATGTAGAAACCAAGAAGTTGGCCGGGCGCGGTGGCTCACGCCTGTAATCCCAGCACTTTGGGAGGCCGAGGCGGGTGGATCACGAGGTCAAGAGATCGAGACCATCCTGGTCAACATGGTGAAACCCCGTCACTACTAAAAATACTAAAAATTAGCTGGGCATGGTGGTGCGTGCCTGTAATCCCAGCTACTCAGGTGGCTGAGGCAGGAGAATCGCCTGAACCAGGAGGCGGAGGTTGCGGTGAGCCGAGATCGCGCCACTGCACTCCAGCCTGGGAAACAAGAGCGAAACTCCGTCTCAAAAAAAAAAAAAAAAAGAAACCAAGAAGTTGTTCACTTTTTCTGAAAGTCAGATGGTTTAAAAAAAACAAACAAAAAACACATGGACGTATTTCCTTCCAAAAATATTTTCTTTATATAGAATTATTCTAAGAACAAAAAGAAAAAAAAAATCATTCTGACAATATTTTTACTGCAATGCTCGAAGAGAACAAAACAGAAGCAGCTAAGTCTGCCCTCGCTTCAGAAGCAGCTCTCCCCGCCACAGCGGCCAGTAGCACTGTGGGAGCCCTGCTGCTGCGCAACATGCCACGCCACACGTGCACACGCGGAACCGCATCCATCAAAGATCTGCGGGCCCACGACTGGCTGGTGCGCTGACATGCAGGCGTACAGCACACGAAGCACAGATTCTGGAAAGATGATGAAGCTTTCAGGGGGACAGAGAGAGGAATTCAGTGGTTTTGGTGATATTTTATTCCTTAACCTGCGTAGTCAGCACAGAAGCTACTTTAATACTCATCTTTGTATCTTACCAACGTGAACATCTACTCTGGCATAAAACGTTGTAGGGAGCAAAAGGGAGTGACTGACACGGGAGAAGGCGGGAGCCCTCCCTCCCCATCCATCCGGTCTTCACCGACTCTTGAAAACTGAGTGTAAGGAGGTAACTTCACAGTCATCTTCCAGGGAGGAAGGGACTGCACAGGTGAGCGCAGCAGCGCCCCCGCAGTGTCCCTATCTCCAAACCGCCCGTGTCACCTTACAGCCTGTTGCTCGTGGCCAGGGCCCTCCTATTAGCATCCATCTACCAAAGCCTTTCGGCAGACGTCAGCTGCCTGCCTCACTCATGGAGTATAAAATAAGGATAATAAAAAACTATAGGCCAGGCGTGGTGGCTCACACCTGTAATCCCAGAATTGTGGGAGGCCAAGGTGGGCGGATCATGAGGTCAAGAGATCAAGACCATCCTGGCCAACATGGTGAAACCTGGTCTCTAGTAAAAATACAAAAATTAACTGGGTACAGTGGCAGGCACCTGTAGTCCCAGCTACTCAGGAGGCTGAGGCAGGAGAATTGCTTGAACCCAGGAGGTGGAGGGTGCAGTGAGCCGAGATTGCACCACTGCACTCCAGCCTGGTGAGAGTGAAACTCCGTCTCAAAAAAACAAACTATAAAGTGCTTTGAGTAACTTGAAGATAACTGAAAATTTTACTTAAGTCTATCACTTTACTGTTAAGAAAAAGCCCTCAAACTCAATGTTCCCACACCAAAGGTTAACTATCTTTGAGACTCAGAATGTTTCAAGTGACATGCCGGGGAAGCAGGTGGACAGACCCCTGAGATACGCAGACTGTTTCACGTGTGTACAAACCACCTCTCTCCCCTGCCCCCCAAGGCCAAAGTGCCGTCAGCCAAGGGGCTTGGTCAGGAAGAGAAAGCTCCCGCCACCTGCCGCTTCACCGCTTACCTCCCACTTTAATCCAAACTTGCTCAGGCAAAGCTTTGTTTCTACTACCTAACGTCTGTTTAGTGGATTCAATTTCTTGCTGATAACAGAAAGAAAATGCTCTAGGCAATCCAATATCCTGGTGCTTGGCAGCTTCAAGTATAGAACATGAGTTACTAGAACTCTGGAAAAAATGAAGCAACAGGAATTTTTATCAATATGTGGCTTACTCTCCTCTTTAATGCACAAATAAAATGCACTTAACAAACATCAAAGCTACTAATACGTGATTTGAAGAACTTTAGTTGCATTGAGGATTTAAAAAGATTCCCATACCATACAAATACTCAACTTTTACAAGTTTTGTTTTGTTTTGTTTTTGTTTTTTTGACACGGGGTGTCACTCTATTGCTCAGACTAAAGTGCAGTGGTGCAATTTCAGCAGAGACCTCCGCCTCCCAGGCTCAAGCTATTCTCATGCGTCAGCCTCCTGAGTAGCTGGGATTATAGGTGTCCGCCACCACCGTCTGGTTAGTTTTTGTATTTTTAGTAGAGCCAGGGTTTCACCACGTTGGCCAGGCTGGTCTTGAACTCCTGACCTCAAGCGATCCACTGACTCGGCCTCCCAAAGTGCTGGGATTATAGGCGTGAGTCTCTATGCCTGGCCTCAAAAGGTTATTAAGGTTACCGATGGAGAAAAAAAAGTACTTGGGACCTAACCAAAGTAAGTTAAAATTTACCCATTTAATACAAAAGAGCAAAGCTTCACAAATCATGTTCCTTACCTGTGTCTGTGAAAGACCAGAATTTCCACTAGCGGAGCAAGCATTTGCCGTAAACAGCGGGTAGGTGAACTGCAAAGCAGGAGCTGAAGCAGCAGCTTTATTTTTCACTAGCGTCGTACATTTGTTTTGTTGCTGATGAAGAGGAACATTCACTAATTCAGACGGATGGCGAATGAGAGTCACCAAACTGCCAAGACAGAAGCAAGCCCAGAAACGTCAGGAGCAGGTGGCAGGCGGGCAGCCATCCGCCATCCCAGTCTAACGGCTCTGGCCAGTTTTCCGGACAGCAGCTGTCTCTCGCCCCGGAAACCTCTGTGCACAGCCGTCACCTAGTGCTGGAGGGAAGCAGGCCCGCCTCACCGTTCGCCATCCTCCATCTGACCCACATGGGCAACACAGGTTGGGATGGGACGAGCAGAAAACTGCGGACTCAGCCCCTTCCCCGCCACCCCTGGGGGTCGACACGGGGGCGGCTGCAGGCTGGAGCTCCATTGTAGAGCTCAGGGCCTGCCAAGCCGCGTCGGTCCTTCCCAGGCTTCCCTGACGACTAGGGGCGCCGCCGGCGCACACGGCTCCCAGGAATTCCGCGGGCGGCGCCGCCAGGGGGCCGTTCAGTTCCGCGAGGTCCCCGCTCCCCGGGGCCCGCCCCGCGCACACAGCCCCGGCGGGGTCCGCGCCCCGTGCGGCCGGGAGGGCAGGCTGGGGGCGCGCCCGGCCTCCGCCCGCCCGGCCTCCGCCCCCTCGGCCTCCCCCCCGGCCCCGCCAGCCCCGGCCGCCGGGCACGCACTTGCTGAGCGCCACGCCCGGCTCGGGGGGCTCGGGGCCGCGCGGCGCGGGCGGCGGCTCGGCGGGGATGCTGTTGAAGCGGTCCTCCAGGCGGACGCGCACGGCCGGCTTGGCCCGGGCCTCGGGCGCCGCCTCGGGTCCCGCCGCGCCCGCGCCCTCCTTGGCGGCGCCGTCGGCCCGGGCCCGCGCCCCGTCCCCGCCGCCCGGCGTCTTCTCGGCCGCGCCCGCCTCGCTCAGCAGCATCATGCGCAGCTCCTGGAAGTCGATGTGGCCCAGGCAGGGCGCGTCGGCCGCCAGCGCGGGCGGGCACAGCACGGGGTACACGGGCGCCGCGCCCCCCGGCCCGCCCGCCGCGAAGCCGCCCGCGCCCGGGCCCGCCGCCGCCAGCAGCGCCGAGTTGAGGCGCGTCTCGAGCTCGCCGTCGGCCGCCGCCTCCATGTGCGAGTAGAGGATGTGCTGCAGCTGCGTGTACTCCACCTCCGTCATCTCCACCAGGCTCAGGTCGGTGGTCGTGAAGCTCAGCCCCGGCTCGCCCGGCGCCGCGTCCCCGCCGCCCGCGCCCTCGGCGCCCGCCTCGCCGCCCGCCGCGCCGGCCTCCGGCGGCGGCTCCCGCGGCCCGGGGCCCGACATGGCGGCGCGGCGCGGCCCAACGGCGACGAGGGCGACGCGGGCGGCGGGCGGCGGGCGGCGGAGGCGGGAGGCGACCCCGGCCGGAGCACGACGCTGCGCCGGCCACAGCGGGCGCGCCGTTGGGGGAGGGAAGCCGCCGCGCACTGCGCCTGCGCCGCCCCGCCCCGCAACGGCAACCCCGCCCTGCGCCGGCCCCGCCCCCCGCTACCCGCCGCCGCCGGCCCCGCCCCGGCCCAACCGCCCGCACGCCCGGCCCCGCCCCCGGCCCCCGGCCACGCCCCTGCCGATTCCCCGGCCACGCCCCGCTGATCCCCAGGCGAGGGCAGCCGCGCTCCAGTCGGCGTGGTACCCACGCGGTGACGCCCTGGGAAGAAGCCACGTGCGTGCGTGCACGTGCGCCCCGCTCCAGCCGCGGGAATGGAGACGCTGTCAGAACAGCTCCGTGGAGCCACAGCGCCCAGGCCATCCTCTTCATCCGCGTAAAATGCGCAGCGCGTGGCCAGGTGCGGTGGCTCAGCCTTTCTAATCCCAGCACTTTGGGAGGCCAGAGCGGGTCCATCTTTTGCAAAGTCAGGAGTTTGAGACCAGCGTGGGCAACGTGATGAAACCCTGTCTCGACTAAAAATACAAAAATTAGCTGGGCATGGTGGCGGGTGCGTGTAATCCCAGTTACTCGGGAGGCCGAGGCGCGGAAACGCTTGAACCCAGGAGGTGGAGATTGCAGTTAGCTAATTGCACCACTGCACTCCAGCCTGGGCGACAGAGTGAGACTCCATCGAGACAGACAGAGAGAGAGAGAGAGAGAGAGAGAGAGAGAGAGAGAGACACAATTAGGATGCAGAAGACCTGAGCAACGCTATCGACCAACTTGCTCCCGTTGATGTCGCTACAACACCCCAACCAGCAGGATCAGAATAGTCTTTTCAACTCGACAGGTAACATCTTCCAAGATAAATAAACCATAACTTGTACCATAAAATATGTCTCAATAAATTTACCGAAACTTTACAAAAATATGCCCTCAACCACAACTGAGTTTGTTTTCAAATCTAATATAAAGATATTTGAGAAATATCCAAACATTTGGCAACTAAATAATTAATTTTGAAATGTCTCATGAGTCAAAGAAGTTAAAAGGGAGAAGTTATAATGTATTTTGAAATGAACAAAAATTAAAAAATCAAAATTTATGGAATATAGCTAAAGAAGTACTTAGAAATGTGTAGCAATCACAAAAGAAAAAAGTTTCAAATTATTCATCTTGACTTCTGCATTGAGGAGCTAGAACAAAAAAAGCAAGGTAAGCAGAAGACAGTCAATAACTGCCTGTCAGTTTCCATTGTATTTCTAAATACAATAAAAACAGAAAAACCGTAGACAAAAACTCAAATGAAGCCAAAGGCTGGCTGGGCATGGTGGCTCATGCCTGTAATCCCAGCACTTTGGGAGGCCGAGGCAAGTGGATCACCCGATGTCAGGGGTTCGAGACCAGTCTGGCCAACATGGTGAAAGCCCATCTCTACTAAAAATACAAAAATTGCCACAGTATGGTGGCGGGTGCCTGTAATCCCAGCTACTCCACAGGCTGAGGTAGGAGAATCGCTCGAACCCAGGAGACGGAGGTTGTGGTGAGCCAAGATCATGTTATTGCACTCCAGCCTCGGCAACAAGAATGAAACTCCATCCCCCCCCCAAAAAAAAATAAATAAAATAAGATAAATAAGAAACCAAAGGCCGTTTCTTTGAGAGAATCAATAAGCTCTATCAACCTCTGGCCAGACTGAGCAGGAAAAAGAAAAACAAATGACCAGAGCCAGGAATAGGAGGTGACGGCACTGCAGATTCTGTAGACCTCGGATGGGCGCAGTGGCTCACGTGTGTCGTCCCAGCACTTTGGGAGGCCAGGGTGCGCAGGGTGCTGAGGCTCAGAAGTTTAAACCCAGCCTGGGTACCATGGTGAAACCCTGTCTCCACACACAAAAAACTGGCCAGGTGTGCTAGTGCACCTGGCGGATCTTACCGATTCTCCCAAAGAACCAGCCTTTGGTTTCTTTTTCTTTTCTTTTCTTTGTTTTTTGGAGATGCAGTTTCACTCTTGTTGCCTAGGCTGGAGTGCAATGGCACCATCTCAGTTCACCACAACCTCTGTCTCCCAGGTTCAAGCGATCCTCCCGCCTCAGCCTCCCCAGTAGCTGGGATTACAGGCACACACCACTGCGCCCGGCTAATTTTTTGTATTTTTAGTAGAGACGGGGTTTCGCCATGTTGGTCTGTGGTCCCCGCTACTCAGGAGGCTGAGGTGGGAGGATCGCTTGAGCCCAGGACGCGGAGGCTGCAGTGAGCTGTGATCATGCCAGTGCACTCCAGCTTGGGCAACAGAGTGAGACCCTGTCTCAAAAAATAAATAAATAGGGCAGGCGCGGTGGTTCACCCCTGTAATCCAAGCACTTTGGAGGCCAAGGCGGGCAGATCACCTGAGGTCAGGAGTTCAAGACCAGCCTGACCAACATGGTGAAACCCCGTCTTAAAAAAATTAAAATTAAAATTAAAAAAAACTTTTAAAATTTTAAAAATAAAAATAAATAAATAAAGCTTCTATAGATACTGAAAGTATATTTGCCTTTTTTTTTTTTTTTTTTTTTTTTTTTTTTTAACATGGAGTTCTCTTGTTGCCCAGGCTGGAATACAATGTCACAATCTCAGCTCTCGGCAACTTCCACCACCCAGGTTCAAGCAATTCTCCTGTTTCAGCCTCCCAAATCGCTGGGATTACAGGCATTTGTCAACACACCCGGCTAATTTTTTGTATTTTTGGTAGAAACGGGGTTTCTCCATATTGGTCAGGTTGGTCTTGAACTCCTGACCTCAGGTGGTCTGCCTGCCTCTGCCTCCCAAAGTGTTGGGATTATAGGCGTGAGCCACCATGCCTGGCCAACACTGAAAGTGTATTAAGGGGCTATTATGAACAACTTTATGGCAATAAAATCCACAACTTAGACAAAATGGGCAAATTCCTTAAAACATAAATTACAAAAGCCCACTCAAGAGGACACAAATAACTTTAATTTCTCTATGTCTGTTGATAAAATTGAATTGGTCATTAAGGACCTTCTCATAGAGAAAATTCCTGTAATAGATGTCTTCATGAGTGAATCCTACTAAACATTTAAGAAAGAAAGAATACCAGCTCTACACAAACTCTTGCAAGAAACTGAGTAGGAGGGACTACTTTCCAGTGCATGCTACAAAGCAAACGTTACTCTGATATCAAAACCAGACGAATAAGACTGCAGAGCAATGTCTGACAGGAACAAAGATGCAGAAGTGGTTTTTATTTATTACTTTTTAAAAGAATGTTTCAAGAGACAGGGTCTTGCTCTGTCATCCAGGCTAGAGAGCAATGGTGCGATCATGGCTCACTGCAGCCTCAACTTCATGGGCTGAAGCGATCCTCCCACCTCAGCCTCCTGAGGAGCTGGGACCACAGACGTGCCAGAATGCCTGGCAATTTAAAAAAGTTTCTTTGTAGAGACAAGAGTCTCATTATGTTGCCCAGGCTGGTCTCGAATTCCTGGGCTCAAGCAATCCTTCCACCTCAGGCCTCCCAAAGTGTTGGGATTACAGTGGTGAGCTACTGTGGCCAGCCCAAATTCTTTTAAAATAATGTCAGCCCTGTCATCCCAGCACTTGGAGAGGACAAGATGGATGGATCACTGGAGGTCAGGTGTTCGAGGCCAGCCTGGCCAATGTGGCGAAACCCCGTCTCTACAAAAAAATACAAAAATTAGCCAGGCGTGGTGGTGTGCGCCTGTAATCCCAGCCACTGGGGAGGCTGAGGCACAGAATTGCTTGAACCCAGGAGGCAGAGGTTGCAATGAACCGAGATCACACCACTGCACTCCAGCCTGAGCAGCAGAGCGAGAATCTGTCTCAAATAAATAAACAAATAAATAAAATGTTCACCAAGTGTGACCGCAGGTGCCTGTAGTACCAGTTACTCGAGACTGAAGTGGAAGTATCTCCTGAGCTGAGGAGTTCAAGGCTACAGCATGCTATGATAACACCTGTGAATAGACACTGCACTTCAGCCTGGACAACACAGTGAGACCCCACCTCTAAAAACTCTTTAAATTGTAAAGATCTTAGCATCAAAATATTTTATGTTACGACTGTCATTGTCTGTTTTCTGTAGCTCTAACCGAACGCCTGAGCCTGGGTAACTTGTAAAGAAAAACAATGTATTTCTTTCCAGTGCTGGAGGCCGGGAAGCCCAGGGTTGAGGGGGTTCACCCGGTTAGGCCTTGTTGCTGGTGGGACTCTGCTGAGTCGCGAGATGGCGCAGGTATCTCACGCTGCATGCCCACAAATAATCTCTAAGCCCACACTTGGCACAGGACCCAGCAATCACAGGCATTCATCCCAGAGAAAGAAAATGTACATCTACTCACACATCTACCCATGAATGTTCACAGCAGCTTTATCTGTAATAGCCAAGAACTTGAAACAACCAATAGGCAAACAGTCAAACAAACCAGCTCATCTTTACCGTGGAAATGTACTCTGCAAGGCCTGAACCTGGGTACGCACCACTTGGATGGGTCTCAAGGGCACCGTGCTGCGTGAAAAAACACACAGTCTCAAAAGCTCACATACAGTAGACGTCATGGGCTGAATGGCGGTCCCCCCGCCCCCCGTTCATACATTGATGTCCTAGTCCCCAGGACCCCAGAATGTGGCTGTATTTAAAGACAGAGCCTTCAAAGAGGAGATTAAGTTAAGCTGAGGACATGAGGGTGAGAGCTAATCTGACATGACTGGTGTCCTTATAAGAGGAGACGCAGGGATTCCTGAAAAAGCCACGTGAGGACACAGTGGAAAGGCAGCCATCCACGCGCCAAGACGGAGGCCTCGGGAAAGCGGCTCTGCTAGCACTTACATCTTGCACTTCCAGCCTTCAGAAGTGTGGGAAAATATTTTTCTCATTTTTATTATTATTATTATTAAAAAAAGGTTTTTTTCAGCC